CGGCTCTGACAAATTGCTCTGGAAACCCAGAGAGCTCTGGAGCATGCACTGCCTCCGGAAAGGGAAGGGGGCCAGGTGGCCGCCCGCCTGGGATCACTCAGCCCACTGCGGTGCCCACAGCAGGCGCTGGCGCCTGGAAGTGTGCCTGGCCGCCAGGCTCCCATGACGAGCGTCTGGGGGGGAGTGTCTGTGAAGTCACTGAAGTCAGCAGTGGGCACAAGCTACTACAGGCTGCAGTCCTTCTACCGCATGGGCTAGAGCCCAGGGAAGGGAATTGCGGGGAGGGGCATGGTTCCTGGCTTGGGCATGGCTGGGCCCATCCCTTTTCTGGCAGGCTTTTGAATTCTGCCCTCCATCCTGCCTCTTTCCTCTCCTAACATAATCCCCTTCTCCAGCATGATCCTTTAAGAACCTAAGTCAGAATATGTGCTTCCAGGCTTCTCACAGCTGTGTCCCTCAGAATTAAATCCTACCACCTGTTCACGGTCAAGAGGCCGGCTGGAACCAGGCTCCCATCTGTGTGGCCCACGTGACCTTTCGCTCTCCCCGGGCCATCACAAATGAGCTCACCCTCACAGTCCTGGCGGCTTGCTATTCCACTGCTGGGGTCATGCCCTGGTTTCCTGCAAGCTATCAGCTGCTCTAAGAGGTTTTCTGGGACTCCAGTGCTGGGCTGCTACTTTTCTCCCCAGCACCCACTGCCACCATTCTCTGTGGCCTCATTCTCTATCCAGGGTAAGGGCAGTTCCATAGCGGAAACTTCAACTTTGCTCCCTGCTGGAGCGCCCTGTCTGGACTGATGCCTGGCACACAGCGGGTGCCGTGACACAACAGCGCTGCTCTTCGTCCTCTGCCTCTTGTGCGAACCTCAAAACACTCTCTTGGGAGGAGCAGCCTGGGTTCTCATGCAGCTTGCTAGCCTGGTCTAGGATCTGCATCTCCCTCCCTCTTGACATCCTGGCTGTTGTCACCTGCTGAAACATCCACAGCTGCTCCTGGGTCCAGGTCTGTATTCTTCTCATCGAGATCTCCCAAAGTCTGCCCCACCTCAGCCCCACCATCATGACAGGTAATACCCACCTTACCCAATCTGCTAAAACTCCATTATGGGACCTCAGAGGTTTGGCCCCTGCTGACAATTTCTACCCTTGAGTCAAGGGGCCAGCCTTCCCTACCTCTGGGCCTTTGCATAAGGTAGGCCCTCAAATGGCGGGTGTACACATGCCTGACTGCATCTTTGTCCTCTTTGTAGAAAATTGTAAAACAGTCTTATATAGGCAATCGAGTGCACAACACACGTGCACACACACGCACATTTGAACAGCTACAATGCAAATGCCCATGTAACGAAGGCCACCTCAGATCAAGAGTATCTCACCAGGGCCCCTAAAACCTCATTCCCTCATTCCCTCCACCACTCCTTGCTCTCCCCATCCCTCTCTCTCCTCCTTGGCAGAAGTGACTTCTCTTGGGGACACCATCCCTGCTGCCAAGGCTTGGATTAGACACGCTCTCTGGCTCTGTACCAAATTCACTCAGATCTCCCTGGGTCTCCCCTGCAGGCTGGGCCCTGGCGTAATTCATTCATGACTTTGGTAGTCCACAGCCAGGGCCCTGCCCACTTGATTTTAATACTCAGCAGAGGGCCTGGCCCACAACAGATGCTCACTGTGTGAATAAGAACAGAACTGCATGCCACGAGGTGCTGTGGAGGTAGAGACTGCGACACTGTTCAAAGGTCTTGCCTTTGTGGGGACTGAGTGGGGCAGCAGGTTGTCATTTTAGCTTGGCCTAAGGGAATGGCAGAGGACCACAGGTTGCTGGGCTGTGTGGTCTGAGGGTCACTGTGGCCAGCGGCAGCTTGGCCGCGATGGGAGGGTTGTACACATGACCCCCTTGGGCACAGGTGTGCCTGCAAGCAACTACAGTTCAGGGACAGTTTGGGGAATTTGCTCCTGCCAAAATAGGAAACCTGTGAGAAGTCTGGTACAGTGGGGTGGGGGCAGGACTGAAGACAGGGAATTACAACAGTCCCCGTCTGGAACATACCAACCTCCCCTTTTCTCTGGCCGGCTCAGAAGCCCTTCTAGAAGGAAGCCCCGCCCCCCCACGCCCCCGCCCCCCCATCAGCTCAGGCCCCTTCTCTGGCTTCCACCAGCCGAGATGACACTGGTGGAACAATCTGACTTTTCTACAGCTCTAGGAGCTCTGGCTACTAACTGCTGGCCCAGGGGAGAGTCTTGGTTGGAAGCTGGGCTTTGGGGCTGTGACCTGAACGGCTGGCAGGCTGAGGGCCATTACCCTGGGCGCTGCTGAAGGGCTCTTCTGACCCGGACTTTTTGATGAGTCTGGTTGCAACTCCACAGGGGTCCAGCCACCTACCCACCCTGGGGGAAGAGGGAGGGCCAGCACTCTGTTAATCCCCTGTGAGTAAACTTAAACCAACTCATTCCGCCCTTCACTGGTACCACGGCAAGATCTGTGAAGTTGGGGCTGGATTGGAAAGGCTTTTACCCAACTCTCATTAAAACAAACATACATCCACTTAAGAGAACACATCTTCCTCTTCCAACCACCCAAATCCCCTGAAGCACCCCATTTTGGGAAATGCTGCACTACACTAAAGCCTGGTTGCCTAGGAGAAAACTTCAGGAAGTGGCTCTAATGAGCAGATAAGAATGATTTGCAATTAGCATCAATTGTCTGTATGCAAATTAAAGTTCCCAACCACACAGCCCTCTTCTGTAGCGGGCTCCCCACCCATTTCACTGCCTGGGGTTCTGGGTTCCGTAAATCCTTCCCTCTGAAAAGGGGTAATTTCACACCCCCCTCCCTGTCTCAGCCCCAATCTTTACTAGACTTTGCTGCCTGAAAATGGGAGATGTGGAACTCCCCAGTAACTGAGGCTCACTACCATGAGCCTGTGCACACAACAGGGGCTCCACCAGCAAGGCCTGTCCCATTTCCCCACAATCCCCTCCCCCCATGAAAACTCTCTTGGTCCTGCAGCCCCCCTGGGTGGGCACAATTTTCCAACTGACTCAGTGATGATCTGTTCCCATCTGTTTCCCTCCCTCGCCAGGGGGCTGTGCTGAGGGCCTGGGACTCATCCCAATCAGCTCATTCTTCATCCTCACTTCCCAGCACAGTGACAGGGACAGGACCCATCTCCAAGAAAGATCTGTGAGTGAATAGAATGAAGAAATCGAAGAAGGAAGGGGCTGTTCAAAGGATTCAGAACCCTTTGGAGGGAGGTACCAGAGAGACTGAGACCTCTCCCGCCTCCCCTGCACCTTTACCCCTTCTGGTATGACTGACTGATGGAGCATGTGGTGCCAGAAGGAGGCGCTGCACTAGAGCTGCTCTTGGAATTTTCAATGTGTAACAGAACTCCCGTTGTGTGTGAAACTCTCTAAGCAGGGGCTGATCGGCCTCAAACACAGTTACACTATGCGCCCCATTACAGTGCGGCCAAGACTCGCTTTGGAAGCTCTACTCCACCTTTGGTGGCCTGAGTATCTCTCTGGACACGACCAGTCTCACTGGAGTGAAACTGTGGTCAAGGAGGCAAGGTGGCAGTGGAAGGCTCACCTTGGGTGGACAGAAGTCGTGGGCCGTGGGGCTGAGGTGGCTTTCAGCTCCACTGAAGTGGAGGGGTGGTGGCTGGCCCCTGGGCAGGAACAGGTAAACGGAAGGGAAGGGAGTTTGTGACCCTGTGGGGTGAGCAGTGAGGACAGCAGCCTAGCAAGCCTTGCCTGAGGCCACAGAACTCTGTCCCCTTGGCTCCTGGGACAAGACAGAACTTTTCCATCTTACAGGTGCTGTTTATCAGATTCTCAGAAGACCAGACACCAGGCTGCTGGGTAGCCAATCCCTTTTCTTTTTCATTTACTCTCCTGTCTGACTTCCTACTAGCAATTTTCAAGTGTGGTCCTAGACCAATCAGTATATCTACATATCCACAAGGCACTTAAAGAAAATGCACTTTTTCAGATCCTACCCTGACCTGTTGAGCCAGAAACTGAATGGGGCTCAGCAATCTGTGAAGCCAGTTTTCCCAAGAGGCTGGTTGGGGACCCTGCTGCATGCCTTTGAGGCAAGAAGGCCAAGCCATAGTCTCACAGACTTCCTTGTGGCTGGGATGGTCACCGGCAGACCTGCTGCAGGGGGCTCTAGGAAAATGCTCTCCATACAAAGTGGGACCTGCTTAGGGGCTGGTGTTGTGGTGCCCAGGGACAGGCATTCTATATGAATGTCAGTTTGAATCCCAGCTGCTCTGCTTCCGAGTCAGCTCCGCGCTGTCGCACCAGAAAAGGCAGAAGACGGATGGTCCCGGCCAGCCATGTGAGAGCCCGAATAGAATTCCTGGCCCCAGCTTTTGCAGCCATTTGGGGAGTGAACCAGCAGATGGAAGATTTTCTCTGTATATTAACTCTGCTTTTTAACAAAAATAAAAGCATCTTAAAAAAAGAAAAAAAAGAAACAATAAATGCTACAACATACCCCTCAGTTCCCTGCTGCTCTCACCTTGTGGGCACAAAGCTTTCTTGAGGCGAGGGAGACCCCAGCCAACCCACTGAGGACAGCAGGCAGGAAGCCAATGCCGATCCTAGAGGCCCTACCTAGCTGCTCCCTGGCTCTGCCCTCGCTGGATTTCATGTGTGGTGGCGTGGGAACTGATATACCATTACAAGTGTTTAAAAAGCCACTGTGGGTCAGGTTTCCTACTATCTCCTCGCAAATATAATTTGTAACTTACAATGAGCATAGAATCTATTAGTATCAGCAAAGAGAGAGAGAAAAAAAATACACAACAGAGCACAGAGCCAGCTGACCAGAGAAAAAGCTGGGGATATCCCCCCTCTGCCTGGGGACCCCTCGAAGGTGACGGCAAACACTGGTGGGAGCAAGTGCATCTGCAGCACGTATACCTGCGGGCGTGCTTGGGAGTGGACGGTGGTGTGTGTTCCCAAAAGACCCCGACCAGCTGTGTCCCTTACCTGGGCTGCCTTGGCGGGTCCCGGCTGCCCCCTGCCAGTCCAGTTGGGGCGCTGGAGCCTGAGGAGTACAGCTTCGGTCGGTAGCCCTTGCTCTGGCTGGCAACTGCAGGGGCAGGTGACACCTCGCGCCGCCTCTCTGTGTGCTGGGACCTTCCAGAGGCCTCGCGTCCCCCACCGCACAGGCCCATGCTTCCAGGTGGCTTGTGTGGCTTGGTGGCCCGGGGTGCCTTGGCCAGGGACATGCAGCTGGGACTGGAGGTGTAGAGGGTGGTGTCGATGCCGCTGTCGCTGGAGCCACCCTTTGATAGGGGGTCTTGCTCTGGTTCCAGGGGGTCCAGGGGATCGAACCAGCGCTCGTCACTGTGGCTGCTGGACGCGTTGCTGGAGAGCGTATTGCTACTGGAATGACTTGAGTACTGAGGTTCTCCCTGGAAGGCAGGACGACTACATCATTCCTGGGCTTCAGGTCTGGGCCAGGTGATCCCGCCCTGGGTCTTCCCTCTGACCCAGTGTGAACATTGGAACCACACTGCGACAAATGGTTCCTTGTATACTGGCTGTGTTACATTGGGCAAGTCATTTCCCTTCTCTTTTCCACTGTGTGTGTGTGTGTGCGCGCGTGTGTGCGCGAGGGCACAATAAAACCTTGCCTTCTGTGGCTGCTCAAGGAAAAAATGACATCATAGAGATAAGGTACTTTTCAAAAGCCTCAAATTGAGCTTCAGGCCTTTCCTACCCAATCTGCCTCCTCTCCAGCTCTGAACAGCAGCTCTGCCTCTCAGCTGCCTCTCCCCAAGTGTTGTGGACACACCTTGGACCCTGCTTCTTGGTTGCATGTTCACATCTGGTCCTGCTACTTACATTTTCATCTGTCTCTAGCTGGGCCTTTGCAATGGCTTCCTTCCTGGTACCCCATATCCCACACATGGGCAGGAGGAGGGGGTGAAGCCATGTGTTAGCACACATCCCCTGGCTGGCTGCTCAGAACTCCCCTGTGGCTCCAGCTCACCCAGAAGAGCAGGAGTGCTTCTCGAGGCTCACCAGACCCATGTCCTGGTCTCTAACTTTATCTCCCTCCTGAGCTTTCTGTTCCAGCCACACTGACCTCTTTTTTCATTTTAAAAAATTATTTACTTAAATTTATTTGGGGACAGTTTTCATCTGATGGCTTACTTCCCAAAATGCCCTTGGTGGCTAGGGCTGTGCAGGGCTAAAGCTGAGAGTGCAACCCAGGCCTCTTGTACAGGTGGCAGGAATCCAATCATCATTTGGCCCATCACTGCCATCTTCCAGCATCTAAACCAGCTGGACGCTGGAGTCAGAGGATGGAGGTGGGTATCAAACCCGGCCGCTCTGATGAGGGATGCAAGATTTTTAGAGCTGGCCTGGCGGCCCTCTCACCTGTTCCAGTTTGGCGTGCTGATGCTGGAAGAGTCTGCAAGGATCCTCTCCCAGCTATTTCCATGGGTCTCCCTCACTTTGTTCATGGCTTAAAGGTCACCTCCTCAAGAGCCGCCTCTGAACCTGGCATCCCAGAGAAGCAGAGCTTGGAGGGTGTTTTGTCCTCAGCTCTGCTTTGTTCTTTCACGGCAGGGGCTGGTTCTTAGCCTTACATAACACACTTGACATATGTAACAGTATCTGCTCCCTGCTAGCTGCGTCCACTGGGATGTCAGCCTCTTGTGAGCACCCGGGCTCGCCTTATCTCTTCTGAGTCCTAATGTTCTGCATGTCGCAGTGCTCATCAAACATCTGCTGAGTGAACGGAAGCCAAGAGCTCGCATGATGGCCTTCCCCTGGACCCACGGGGGCTGCATCTCATGCTGGCATCCTGTGCAGTCAGGTGTGGTCACGTGATGAAGGCCTGGCCAACCTAACACAGGTGGAAGCTGTTCCTGCCCCCTCATGTGCCATGAAGAGGCAGGGGCCCAGCAGAAGCCCAGAGGCCCCGTGGGACGGCAAAGCCACAAGCCGCAGGGAGCCTCGATTCCCGAATCTCTCTGTGGAACTCTGCACTGTGGTACTACCTATGTGAGAGGGCAATAGGCTTCTGTTGTCAGTGGTCTCCAAGTGTCCAGGGCTGCCCGTTAGAGCAGTTCATTTACCATGACTAATGGACTAACGAGGAAACGGAGGCTTAAGGAGGTAAGGGGACCTGCTCAAGATGACTGGCCATCAAGGACTGGAGCCAGGATGAGCACCTGGTTTGTTCTAACTCTTGACTCAGTATTTTGCTGCTCTACAAGTGGAAGATTGCAAGGGTGGAGTACATGTTCCCGTGGTGTTTAGAGCCCACACCCATGCCTGGCCGCCCAGCTGACTGCAGTCAGATGCCCAGGCAATGCTACCAGCCCTTGCAGGTCTGGTTCCCTGGGTGGAGCAGGGAGAGGCCCCGGACTCACTTTGGAATGCCTGTTGGGGGAATCTTTGCCTGTTGCATCCTGCCTGGAGGCATGTTTGTTCCCGCTGCTTCCAACCATGGCTGAGAGCCTTGCTTGGGCCGGCACATGCCACAATGGCTCTGTAGGAAAACAGGAGACACCAGTGATTAGGGTGGCGTGGCCTGGGGCATGTGGCCTTTAATACAGTTAGACAGTTTCACTCCCGTCCATGTCCTCACCCAGAGCATGACCACACCAACTATGCCTTAGCACATAAACAGGGAACATTTGCTGAACACTTTCTAGATTCCAGGCAACACTCCTCCATTATCTGCTCCCAAATGAGGAAAAGCCCACATTCACTGGGTGCCTTCCCAGGTGCATTAGCAGGGAGCTGGATCAGAAGTGCAGCAGCCAGGATTTGCACCAGTGCTTGTATGGGATTCTGGCACTGCAGGCATCACTTACTATTTTGCTTGGGTTCTGTGTCTGGCAGTGGTCTGAGAGCTTTGCCTATATTACCGCCCCAGTGCTATGATGGTAAAATATTAGGCCCATCTCCAATGGATAGAGAGCCAGGTTCAGGGCAGTCATCCAGCCTTAAATACCACCTGTAAGCGAAAGCTCACATCTTTGCCTCCTTCTGGACTTATCCCTGAGGACAGACATGGACTTTTGGCCCCTCCCCTGGGTATCTGCTGGGGACCACCCGCGAACCTTCAGTCTATTCCACTCAGCTAATGACTGTTCCATTCATTCAGCCCCTCAGGTCCAAACTGCACTGATTCCTGACTCCTCCTCCATGCCCATTTCTAGACATCAGGAAATCCAGCCAACTCTGCCTTTGCATACCATATCCAGAAAGGCCTTTCTCTCCTGTCCTATGCCATCACCCCTGGTCCTGCCTCCCACCCTACCCTGCAGGAAGCTGTAGTCACAAGGATCCTGTGAACCCCCAAGTCAGTTCCCATTCCTCTTCCACTCAGAGGATGGAACCCTGAAGCTCCCATCCCACTCAGTACCCCAAGGTCCTATCTGCTTTATTCCCAACATTTACCGTTTCTCTGGCCAGGTGGCATTCCCAATGTTGCTGCAACACAGCAGCCTCACAGCTTCTGCAGCCTCTCTCCCTAGTTCTTCCCTTTCTCTGGGATGTCCTCCTCCCAGGTGATGCCCTCCCCACCGCTTTTTTTTTTTTAACTGGGTGGAGGGAAAAAAACAGAGAAAAGATTCAAATCTGTGTATCCTGCACGCAGCACCAGACAGGTCCAAGCATGTTGAAGAGTAAACCGTGTCTGCAGGCACCAGAGGCAGTAGATGACAGTGGCACCGGGAGCACGGCCTGCTTGCTTCAAGTTGCAGTATTGTCCTTGGTTTGAGGGAGCCACAAGTCAAGGTGCCAAGGCATTCTCCAGGCCATTGACTCTGCGGCCTGTGTGCTGTCCTCCTCCACGGTGCCCACGGATCACCCCTCTCAGCTGCCTGGAAATTCTCCAGCATTCCCTAGGAGATGCCCTGCCTCTTTCCCCTCCAAGGTCAATGTCCTCTACCATTTCGTTTGCTTTCTTCCATCTGAACCTAACGTACCCATCCAACTAGTGGCACTCACACTTCAAAGGGGCTACAAGTTCATTATGTCAAATGCTGTCGAAATTATTCGTCCAGGTAGGACACACATGTGGCTAATTACACAGGAGACCGAACATGAGAACACAATACCATAAGCTATCAGAAAAACACAAATTAAAAACATAATGTGATACCACTCCACGCCCAGCTGTGGGACTGAAACAAAAAAGTTGGTAAAGGATATGGAGCTGCTAGAATTTGCATCTGTTGCTGGTGAGGGTACGTGATGGCCTGCCACTTTGGGAGAGAGTCTGATAGTCAAACAGGTGACCCTTAGGGGTAGATGCTAGAGAAGCACGGCCATCTGTTTATCCGAAGGTGAGCAGAGGAAATGTTCCCTACCGGCCCTACCCTAAGCCCTAACTAGAAACCCAAAGCTCATCAGTGCTGGCTGGAGCAACTCAGACACAGCAGAACCTGCTCAAAGCCAAGGGCTGCCTCTCACAAACAAAATATTACATAACAGAGAACACACACACACACACACGACAGCATGTTCAACAAACTATGAAATTCACATTGTCCAAAGCCATGGAGCGCTCAGAATTTGGGCTTGTCTGTCCATGTGTGTTCTGTGTCTGTAAAAGCTGCAGGACAACATGGGAGGGTTTATATCCTGAAAAGTCAGACACAGCAGTCCTGCTCCCCACTTTTCACCCTTTTCCTTTCTCCTCCACGGGGCCACCATCCCCAGTCATGCAGCCGGACCTGCTGTGGACTCAGTGGGGCGGTGGCTGCCCTCTGCGCGCCTGGCATGGAGAAGCCTCTGGCTCCAAGCTTCCCACTGCCCTCCTGGCTGACCTCTTACTGCTGAATGGCTCCCACAGTTTTCTTTTTGCACTTGAGCCATAGATGAAAGACAACAGGGAAGCAGCTGTTTTCTGTCATACTATGAGGAAGGGGTCTTGGGCGGGGGAAGCGGGCAGGTGGGCCCAGCTGCCCGGGGGAGGCCCTACCTGGCTTCTGGCGCTCCATGGTGCTCTCCTGACTGGTCAGCCCACCTGAGGAGGAGTCTCCACTGGATGTTCCATCGTGGCCGAAGTGGGGATCAAAAGACAGCAGTTGGTGTGGGGCGGCTGTGTACCTGCATGGGAGCGAGAAGAGACAAGCACAGAGTGAAGGATTGTATCAAAACCACCTGAGCCTGGGACTGGCACGCCAGGGAGTTTTCAATGTGAGGGAGGTTCCACTCCGCCGTGGGTCGGGGAGCAAGTGAGCTGTTGGCAAGGCTGGATGAGTAAGCCTGGAAACGTGCTATTAACTGAGGGTCAGGAATGAGAGTTTTGTCTGGGAAGCCTGCCAGGGAGCTGGTGGTGGCAGGGAGCACAGGGAGAGGCGGGCTCCGTGCAGGAGACAGCAGGGGTCATCTGGGCCAACTCCCCACCACCATTCAGGCTGCCCAGGGTCCTGAGCCTTTCGGTCGTTGTCAGCAGCTACTGCCCCAGGCCTGTCTTGGGTTCACTCTTTGCTGCAGAAGGGCAAGGTAAGTGAGCATCTGCAGGAAGATAGGTCCAGGGCTGTGCAGTCTGGACTTTGGACTTCACTCCTGCCTAGCCTGTCAGAGAATGTCACATTCCAGCTCTGAGCCTTAGTTTACTTGTCAGAAAGTGATGTCATTCAATGCTTCCTTACCGGACTGAAGGATGCCCCTAACACTTTTGTGCTGACACACATATAAATTGTGATAACTGGCAGTAAGGTTGGGACTCTGGTACTCCCTTGTCTCTTTGGAGGAAAGCACTATGGAGGAGAGGTTGTGGGCTTAAGTTTCAGAGTAAGGGTGATCTGTGTTGAAACTGCAGGCCCATCCCCTGGGCAGGTGCTCAACGAGCTGCCATCTCTTCATCTGAAAAATGAGGTCCCATCTTCCACCTTACACAGATGAGGTGGAAGCACATGGATTGTTGTTGTAGTTAACCCTGAAGGACTTCGCCGGGGGCCGGCCCTGAACACCCAGGGGCAAGGGCCAGGGCTCCAGGGAGGCAGAGGTGGGGTATCCTCCCTGCAGCCTTCAGTCATGGTGCCAGTCTCTTCACCACTGAAGCGGTCTGCTGGCAGACACCTCCACTCAGAGCCAGTTGTGGAAAAGCAGCTCCCTGACAGGGGTGAGTTCAAGGATAGGCAGGTGACTCGATATGGTCTAAGAAGGTGCCAGTGAAGACTCCTGTGCCAGGTGCGTCTGGCCCTGTGAGACTACCTGGCCGGGGTCAGGGAGCTGCTTCCCGATGAGCAGTGAGGGAAGTGATGCGGAGATGGTGGCTATAAGAGAAGTTGGTCCTGGGCGCCCCTTGCTCACCCAGCAGTGGAATTGCCAAGTATGTGAGAAAGCAATCTTGGGACTCTGTTGGTCATGGAGGCTTTCATGCTTGTGACCCAGCATAACTTGACTAAAACAGAAGGAGTGTTCCGGAGATGTCTCACCCTCCTTGGTGAGATGAGGAGAGCACACAGGCCCTTCTCTTTCTTCCAGATGTTGCTGTATTCAGAGGCAGCCCTGCAAACAGCTGTGGCCTTGTCACCTGTCTGAGCGTGAAGCCACAGGGGCAGTGGAAGGAACTACCTCTGGACTAAATGTCACTGCCTTTTCCTTCCCTGTCTGTGAGGCTGTGAATTCCTATAGAACCTGGGCGGTCAGCTTGGCACCTCCAGCCAGAAGCTCCTGGCTGACATGGTCCCCACACTCCAGAGGCACTGGGAGGCTCCCTGTCCAGGGGAGGCTCCACCTGTCCAGGATGGCAGAAGGGGCTTCAGAGGGGTACTGGACAGTGGGAAGACCAAAAGGCCTTGATTCCCAACACCTCCCCAGGACAGGAGGATCAAGCCAAACATGAGCAACACCAAGAGTTAATTCTTACTCTTTTTCATCTCCAAGGGCCCCATTCCTGGTAATTTAAGGGATTTTCACAAATGCCCCTGGAACCACAATCTCCACCTTACTGTCAGACACCACAATGGGTCGGCTACCTGCTAAGATGGGGATACAGGGCAGCTGGAGATTCTGGGGCTGACGTGTTTGCTCAGCTTGCCCAGGAAGTCTATAGTGAATGCTGGATACTAATGGAAAACATCAACAGGACTGTGAGGAGCCAGGGGAGAGTGGAAAGTGTGAGCTGCAGACATGGTGGGTCACTTCCCCAAATGCCCATTCCCCCTTCCCCCTTTGGGAGCTGAATCTAAGCTCTACTGGGGGTAGTGCTGACAGACTATACTTTCTGGGCTCCCTGTGGTCCTGGACAATAAGATCAAAGTGAAGGTGCCTGTGTGGGACCTCCTGCCGGGACATGTCCTTGGAAGGGTGCTGGGAGTACCCTGGTCCCACTGCCTCCTGAGGCTGCAACCCAAGCCTCCATCGCGGTCCAGCAGGCAAATGGTCAAGCACAGTAGAGCATCAGAAAGGGTCCTGGTCCTGGCCAGGGCAGGAGAAAGAAACCATCTTGGGACTGGTGCAGTGGCATAGTTTTCTAAGCCTCTGCCTGTGGAGCTAGCATCCCATATGGGCTCTGGCTGTTATCCTTCCAATCCCAGGCCTGTTTATGGCCTGGGAAAGCAGTGGAGGATGGCCCAAAGCCTTTGGTTCCTGAATCCACAGGGGAGACTCAGAAGAATCTCCTGGTTCCTGGCTTTAGATCAGCGCAGCTCTGTCTGGAGAGTGAATCAGCGGGCAGAACATCTCTGTCTCCTTCACTCTGTGACTGCCTTTCAAACAATAATAAAATCTCTTCTATAAACCAGAAATGATCTTTTCTGAATTACTGCTTTCCTTGTCATGCAGCCACACCTACCCCAATGGACAGACCACCTCTGGCTGGAAATACTTGGCCATGTTCTAGCTCTTGGCTGCTGCCTCCAGTCAAGACAGTCAGTTCTTTATGTCCTACTCCTATGAGGCCATTTTCACCACTGTCAAATTCTAGTCAAACTCATCGGAAATTAGGACCTCTTATCTCACCATTCAGACTCTGGACAAATATTGCCAGAAGAGAAGACTGGATCACACTGGAGTAACTGTAAAGCAATTGCTTTATCTTTTCTTGCAGGAGGAAGTCCTGAAGCTAAAGGGCTCGGGGGTCTGATGAGGAACTAGTAGTTGGCAGCAGTGTCAGGCATCTGTCAGTAGATGTTACAGGAACTGACTCTGGAGAGGCCGGAGGGAGGAGGCACCTGGTCAGCAGGGCAAGTGGCGGCCAGGCTTGCTTGAGCTCCCCACTGGCCACAGAGGAAAAACACCAAGGCAGATGCGATTGTGAGCAAAAGCCCCACTCATGTGGAAGGCTCCACCTGGCTCTGCCAACCTCCTGCCTCCATCAGTGGAGCAGCAGATGTGTGAACAACAAGGATGGACAGGTGATGTGGCTGGTGTTGGCTGTGCTTCCATCTCTCATCTCTCTACTTTTATCTGTGTTGGTGGGATCCACATTCTGCTCCATCACACCACTTGTGGAGGGATGGGGCGGGGGAAACCCTGACCATTTAGGATACTCACAGGGGTCCACTGCGACCTTGCCATGGGTTGGTTCAGGAGTGGATGAGTAACTCAGTTCTTTCATCTTTTTTTTTCCCAAATTATTTTTAACTAGAAAGTTGGAAAAGCAGATTTATAGACAGAAGGAGAGATAGATGGTTCACTCTTCAAATGGCTGCCAACAGCCAGACCTGAGTTAATCCAAAGCCAACAGCTTCTTTAAGATTTCCCAGAGGGGTGCAGGGTCCCAAGGCCATCCTCTGCTTTTTTTTCCCCAGGCCATAAGAAGGGAGCTGGATGGGAGGTAGGGCAGGAAGGACATGAACTGGCACCCATATGGGATGCCAGTGGTGCTTACAGAGGATTAGCCAGTTAAACCATCATGCCAGCCCCAGTTCCTATATTTTTAAAAACAAAAAGCTTTTCCTTTGTGTTTTTGGTGTGTGTGTCAGGAGTCACTTGTTTTACTTGGGGCCATAGTAGCCACCCTCGGGTTGGCACAACCAGGTCCCTGAGGACACCCACCCTGAGTTGCAGAACTGACCAGGTCTTGGGCCATCCTATTTCTTGGCTGCTTGTTACAGGCAGCGCTAAATCCCCTAATGTTTCAAGCCTTCCTGCGTTAAGTTTTCTGTCCCTTGCCATCCAATGCTCCTAATGGACATACCATTCTTTATGCAGCTGGCAGAGAAAAGCAGGAGAAACAAAATCTAAGCCAGCCAGGGAACTGGGTGAGCAAATGTCTGGGGCCCAGGCCAGCCTGCCAGGCTGGCTGAGTCCAGCACACGTTTTTGTCCTAATTTCTGTACTGAGCTTGCTGGGTCACTGGTGACAAACTCCTGAAGACAGGGGGTGCACCTGCCAGCCTCTGCACCCCAGTGGCTAGCCCAGGCCTGGCCTTCAGCAAGTGACAGTGACCATCCTTACGTAGTCCTTGCTATGCAGAAGGCACAGTTCTAAGTGCCTGATCAGATTTCCTCCCATTGGAGACAGCTGCATGAGTGCATGGAGGTGCAGAGTGGTGAAGTCACTTGCCCACGCTGATGGGGCTGATACGAGACGGGGCCTGGTTTTGAACTCTCAATGGCCACATCACCCTGTCCTCAGTGAAGGTAAGATGGGCCATGACATAGGCTCTGTCTACTAGTGGGCTTTATCCTCTTAAAAGCTTGATGAGTTTGGCAAACAGCAGGCCTGTGGAGAAGACAGCAGGAGAGAGATAGAGAGTTCCCTAAGGGACAAATATCCTTGCTGGACTGGGAATGACACAAAGTTCCAGGAGGTTGGAACATCAGGAGCTGAGGCCACAGCAGCTTGACCTGCTCCCAGGCTGGTGACCATGCTATGGCTTAGCTCCAGGGGCCTGGAGTGTGAAGTATGCCAGGAACATTTGGCTATGCTTGGCTATAAGCTGCCTCAGACAGAAAGCGCAGAGTAAGGAGACAGTGGAGCACCAGGAAAAGTGGGGTGGGTTGGGAAGAGGTTAAGTCCCAGCAAAAACTGTTATTTCCCTGCCTGACAGTACCAGAGAGCCTGAAACGCATGTCAGAGTCATCAGTGCTGCCATGGGCAAAAGCAGTCACAGCAAATATGGGTGGGGGATGAGCAGAGTCCTCCGGGTGGGCAGGATCGGCCTGCTGACCTAACAGGCCCGTGTTTCCATCTGTGTGCTTTCCAGCAGAGTGATCTTAGCCAAGTAAGGTCGCCTCACTGAGCCTCAGTTTCCCATCTGCAAGATGGGGCAGATAAAGCTACACCCCACACGGAGCTGCTGGGAGGAGGCACTGAGATCGTACATGTGGTCTGACAGGACAGACCAGAGAGAACACAGCCAAACACACAGGCCCAGTTAGCCTCCCCTCCCCTGATTTTTGCCTTAAGGAGTAAAACAGAGGAGCCTTGTTAGACTGTGCTGGAACAATTGAGACATCAATGGGCACAAGGAAGAGATTCAACTGAAGCCTCTACCTCATAACAAAAGTTAATTCAAGGGCCAGCATCCCATAGGAGCATAGGTTTGAGTCCTGGCTACTCCACTTCTGATCTAGCTTCCTGCTGATATACCTGGGAAAGCAGTACAGGACGGCCCAAGTACTTGGGCTCTTGCCATCCATTTCGCAGACCCAGATGGAATTTCAGACTTTGGTCTGGTCCAGCTTTAGCCACGGTAGACATTTGGGGAGTGAACCAAATGGAAAATCTTTCTCTGTTGTTCTTTTAAATCAGTTGATCTTTTTTTTAAAATAACTGAGGGTCTGGTGCGATGGCGCAGTGGTTAAGGTCCTTGCCTTGCATGCCCGGGATCCCATATGGGCGCCAGTTCTAATCCCGGCGGCCCCGCTTCCCATCCTGCTCCCTGCTTGCCCTTTATGAAAAAAAAAAAAAAAAACTGAAAAAAATTCAAAATAGATTATGGACTCAAATGCAAATCAGTAAAACTTCCATAAAAATTGTGAGCGACAGTGTCTGGTATGATGGCTCACTGGCTAAATCCTCATCTTGCAAGTGCCAGGATCACATATGGGTGCCAATTCATGCCCTGGCTGCTTCACATCCCATACAGCTCCCTGCTTGCGGCCTGGGAAAGCAGTTGAGGATGGCACAGCGCCTTGGGACCCTGCACCCATGCGGGAGACCCAGAGGAAGTTCCTGGCTCTCGGCTTTGGATCGATCCAGCTCTGACCACTGTGACCATTTGGGAAGTGAACCAGCAGGTGGAAGATTTTTTTTGTTTGTTTTTCCTCCTCTCCGTAAACCTGATCTGCCATTCCAATAAAAATCAACATTAAAAAAAGAAAAGTTAGGAACAGTTAGGAACCAGGATGAACAAAATGTTTAGAAAAGACCAAAAACATGACTCCCTAAAAAATAAAAGATTAATTTTTCAATTAAACTTTAAAAAATGGAAATGCCTATAAAAGAGATAAGTAGACAAACTAACAATCATGAGAAAATAGCTGTGAATACACTTCTAACAAGTGACTTGTATCCAGAACATACAAAGAGCTTGCCAATGTTGCAAAGGATTTAATCCAATTAGAAAACTGGCAATAAAAGCAAGCACTGACATTTTGCTTGGGAGAATGTTCCATTGGCAAATAAGCACGTGAAAAGACACCCGACATCATTATCCATCAGAGAAATGCAAATTGCAACCACCATGCACTATCACCATCAGAAGAGATAAAATGAAAAATAGTGACAACACCAAATGGTAGCACGGATGTGGAGAAACTAGAACCATTCATACACTACTGGTGCAAAACAGATCACCATATGGTGAGCAATTGTATTCTTGGGCATTTATCCCAGAGAAACAAAACACTTACTTTCATGTGGAAACTTGTATGCCTGAACATTCGTGTTCAGGGCATGAACCAGTGTTACGTCCCAAACCTAGAAACTACCCAGAGGCCTTCCAGTGAATGAATGAGTGGTTAAACCGAGGCACATCTGCCATCAAGGATACAACTGCAAGAATAAGGGAGCAAGATCAACTACTAGCACACGCAGTGACAGGGGTGAAGCCCAAGGATATTATGCTGAGTGAAAGACAATCTCAAAAGCATACACACTGTGGGATGCCTTTGATATGTAACAGTCAGGAAGTACCACTAGCTTAGGACGTGCTAACGGATGCCAAGGGGTAGGAAGGAATTGGGGTGGGGGAAGATGGGTATGACCTGAGAAGGCTGGCAATGGTGGATCTCTGAGATAACACCTGTGATAAACTGCGTGCGCGCGCGCACACACACACACACAGACACACACACACACACACAGACACACACACACACACAGACACACACACACACACACACACAGACACACACACACACACACAGACACACACACACACAGACACACACACACACACACACACACACACACACACACACACACACACAGAGGTGTGTATATAACCAGTGATGTGTGATTAAGCTCTTCAGCTTGTACTGATATCAATGTCTTGGTTCTGTACCAGAAGTATGCAGGAGGACTTCTCTACATACTCTTTGCAACTTACTGTATGTGATTGTTTTAACAATAATATAAGGAAAAGAAAAAAGGAGGGACATTGAGCACGTGGAAGAACCAGACTGCTCCAGGGAGATCAGGAATGTCGCCCCCATCACCTGTGGCTGACTGGCTGATGACCCTGTGCCGCCTGCCATTTCCAGGCTAACTCCCACAATCCACAGCCAGCGGGCTCCTCTTTGCTCCTCCTGTCACGTTCCACACCATCCCACTTGTTCCTCTCTGTGGCCTCTGTTCCATCTGGAATGATCCTCTCCCTCCTTTCTGCAGTCAATTCCTCCCATCTCTTGAAACCCTGTTCAAATGTTGCGTGCTCTGGGCAGGCAGCCTAGCCCTCCAGGGCTGGGCTATGTGACTGCACTTCAGTTGAGATGCCCTTTAGTGTGCAGTGGTTTCTAAGGGCCTCTCTCCATCACACCCAGATAGTGTATATGGCAGGAGCCCCAGGTAACTGAGTGTCTGGTGTTCTACCCAGCACCTGGTGCCCGGGAGGCTCAGGGGCCCTGCACTGAAAAAGAGCTGAATAGTGGCACCTAGGAAGGTGGCATATTGCATCTGTTTTTCTTTTTATAACAGAGGCTTAGAACCGGTAATGGCTTAGTGTGGTGGCTCCCGGAGCAGCACTGAAGTGACATTTTCTTCTCAGACCTACCAGGTCAGAAATGGGTGAGGCCCAGGGGACCCTGCTTTAACCAATCCTGCTGTTTGATTCTGATGCACACTAAAAACTGGGAATCACTGGTTTAGTAGACTGCCCTTGGTTTTAAAAGCCAGGCAATCTGATTTAAACAAACCCACTGTGCCTTTTCATCAACCATGTTATGAAGGACCTGCCATGTGCCAGACTCCTGCTGTGTGCTGGGAATACAGGACCAAATCCAAGTGTTCCTAGATCTTGGAGAGGAGAGCTGTCTCCTTCTTTCTGCGCTGTGTATACATGTCTGAATCCGCAGGCTGCTGACTAGACCAACAGAACGCAGAGTTCTCAAAAGCACAGGGAGGAACTACGCAGAGTTGAGGGGCAGCAGAGAAGCAGTACTGGAGCTGCTGCTGGCAGGAGGACGGGATAGGAACCTGGTGAGGAATGAATTTTCAGGTTGAGCAACGAAGGTAACCGGAGGCTCTGAAATGCACACGGTCTAGGAACCTGCAGGTGGCCAGTGGGGCTGATGTATCGCACTGCACAAGACTCACAAGGTACCAGGGCCCTTGGTGGTCACCGTGAGGGGTCAAGGCTGTGTCCTGAGGACTCTGGAAGCAGAGAAATATTCACAACAGGGGAAAAGCATTGCCAGGTTTGTAAACATCCCTTTAGCCGCTGAGAGGAGGCTGAGGTGCAGGTGGGCTGTCGGGAAAGAGAAGGGTGACAAAGATGCTAGAAGGCTAAGGCAACAGAACACGAAAGTGGGAAGTTGGAAAGGAGGCTGCCAGGATGAGGCCCACAGGTCTGATCTGAGAATAGGCAATGACGGGGACCTGAAGGAGGGAGGACACAGGACGCTGGGTTGGAGGCAGATCTTGGAGGGTTTTGAATGCCAGCTGTGGAGTTTGGATTTATTTTGAGAGCACAGGGGAGCCATGGAGGATTGGTGAAGATGCCTCACACTTTAACTTGGGGTGGATCCAAGTGGGCAGGAACTGAAGTGTCACAGATTATAAAAACTGGATAACGATGATGGCCTGGTCATAGGTGGTGTGAAATACAGGGATACATGGTCATGGTTGCAGGGGAATTGGCTTGCGCAAACAACTGACATAAGTCTCAAAAAATGTAATTAAAATGCTGTTGCAAAGAAAGCCAATGGTGGGTTCTGTTCAATCTAGCTTAATCCTAAAACAGTAAGAGGCAGGGAGGAATAGAGTAAGTGAGTGAGCTCCCACCTGCTGGTTTACTCCTTAAATGTGTGCGAGGGTTAGAATAAAGTTAGAATAAAGTTGGAAGCAGGGACTCCATCCAGGTCTCCCACATGGGTGGCAGGAGACTGGAGTCAGGAGGCAGAGCTGGGGCTCAAACCCAGGCACGCCAATGTGGGACCCAGATGTTCTCACCAGGGACTTGATGGTGAGATCGAGTATCCCAGCCCTAAACGCTGACATGAGACATGGTTAACTTCCTGTGCACCGATGATCAGAAACCCCATTAAATGGTAAGTGCATGTGGGCAGGGCATGCATTTCCTGAGGAAGAATAAAAGGGTTTTGTAACTTGAAAAACAAAAACAAAACAAAACAAAACAAAACAAAAAAACCCAAAAAGCAAGAGATTCTGACCTTTCTGGCGATGGCTTGTATCTGTAGGTGGTTGAACCCGGGGTGGAGAAGCTCCCAGAAGGCTGTCGGTAGGGAGGGACTCTGTCGGCCCCTGCTGGTGATGCTGTGTAAGGGGTTTCTGGGAAGCTGACAGGCCTGGAATTAGAGCAGGGGGTGATTAGGAGGGTACTACTGCCTCAGGTCGGCCAGACCACATCTCACTTGCCACAAGCTCGACGGGGTGGAGAAGTGGAAGCTGGGATGCCCCTTGCCTCCCCAGTTCTGTTGCTGTCCTCACCCCTCAGCTTGTGCAGCCCAGTGGAGGGGTAGGGGAGGCATGCTGCCAGAGACCCTCCTTTGCCCGTCTGCTGGGAGCAGATGCTCCAAACACTGGATTCTTTCATTTTATAAGAACACTTTCATCTTTGTACACACATCTGCAAAGGAGTCCCTGCACGTTATAGGCGTCACGATGATGACACTAGGTCCCTGTGGGCTTCCTCCCTCTCACTTCCCTGCCTCCCTGAGGGGAAGTTGCCATCCTAACTTTCCTGCTTCTCAGAAATCAGTTTTAATCCCATTCTTAGCATGGTGGGCTTCAGTCTCTACTCAGCTCCCCAGCACTGGTGGCTCACGGCAGAGGCCTCGGGGCAGGGATGGAGAGAGGAGGCAGACCCGAGGATAAGGAGGAAGGTGGCTAGAAGCGACGAGGGAGAGAACAGAAAAAATGGGAGGGCGAAGAGAAGGGCCAAGGGGAGGGTGGGTGTGTGGGCAGGCGATGGGGGCGTCCTTACCTCTTGCTGTGCAGTGGCTGCGGCTCCCGGAAGGGGACCATGGGGGCCTGCTTCGGGGGCCGGCTCAGGGACTGGACGTGGCCAGGGGTGGCTGGAGTAGCCCACTTGGAGGTTGGCAGAGAGTTGTGGGATGCCGGCCCGCTCCACTGCCAGGGAGCGTTGCTGCGGTAGGGGGGCCGGCCCCCCGGAAGGACGCTTTCTGGCTCGGTCTTGGGCTCCGAGGTATTCATGTCGTAGGTCTCCGGCCACCCCCTGGGAAGAAAAGCTTGGTGACTCAGGAAGGCCCAGGCCAGCAGCACGTGTGCCTGCTGCCTCCTTACCTGGGCCTGGGTTTTCCTGGCCCATGCCACACAGGGTGGCTTGTTTTAAAAGCCAGGCAGGCACCCCTTGAATCAGGGCTTTGAAACTGACCAGTGAGCTCTGCGTCTCAGCCAGGAGGACCCAACAGGGATGCGGACCGCGAGGCCCTTTCTACTCTACCTCCCTCCTCTCTGGCCCCGTCTGCTGGCACGTTGCTGCTGCCCTCTCCCTTCTCCCAGACCCAGGCCCCCAGTCTGAGTGCCCTCCACGGACTGGATTGGTCCCACCTCCACTCCAGCAGTATTTGGGGCTAGAAGGCGGATGCCCTCAGAATCAAAGGACAGTATCTGCCTTGTTCCACAGAATCTCAAAAGGCAAGTGGAAGAGGAGCAGGTGACCTACTTTGCAGGGTGGTTAGGAAAAAAAAAAAGCTACGAAATCCAGAACCTTGAAATAGCTGCAGAGCGGCCTGCGACTCCCTCCAGACCAGGCTGGCACACACTCTGCAGTGGTCTTGGCTCGAGGTAGGGAGATCCGAGGGCCAGGCTTGCAGTCTCCACTGCCGTGCCGCCGCTACTGCTGCAGTGCAGCACAGAGGGGGCTCTGAGCTCGAGGAGGGGGCCGGGCTCTGGAAATCCACTCCCTGGCAGCTGAGAGCGAGAGCTCTGCAGAGTCCTTGGCCTGGAAGCTCCTGTGTCCCCTTAGAGCAGACCCCCTGAGCTCTTCTGAGATCCCTGGAGCCCAGAAAGCTTCAGTGGCCACTTGGCTAAAGAGCTGTGAGAGTTGGTGGCTCATGGGCCCAGGTCACAGCTGCCCAGGAGTCATCCAAAGGTGACCTAAGGATGAGCTCTGCCTGCTCTGGGCCTGCTGCCCCCTGCCTCCTGGCAGCATCACGGCAGCTCCTTCTGGCTCCTCTGGGGCTCATGAGTGATGATGTCTCCTCAGGCAACAGCTAAGGAACAGCGACAGGAATTGCTAACGCAGCCCCAGATCCTCAAGGACTTGGAGGTGGAGGTGGGGCCTGTCGTTCTTGCCTGGTTAGCTTCCGCTTGTTCTTCTGACACCAGGGGCCTGTGCTCTGGGTGCGGCTCACTCAGTTCCCTTGGATATGATGACTAGAACAGGGAAGTCACGTGGCCTAAGCAGGGCCAACCAGAGTCAACAAATGAAAGGCTTTGGGAGGGACTGGAAGCAAAGCTCCATTTCCATTCGGGTGGCTGAGCTGCGGGATCTGAGTCTAGACTCGGGGGTGGGTGTGTGGGTGTGTGGGTGTGTGTGTGTCTGTGAGGTGTGTGTCTGGGTCATCTTCATCTCTACGGGGATGAAGACTGAATGCCAGCAACACAGAGCAGGAACGAGCTGATAGAGGGAGAAGCCCGAGGACACAGCCATGCCTGTACCTTACTGTGTGTATGGGTCTCGTCAGGTATGGGAGCCAGAGAGGACCTCCGTGGCTTCCCATCTTTGATTTAGCTGTTTCCTTTGCTGGTCCCTCGAGTCCTGACCTGAACATCACGTTCCACAGATAAGTGATCCTAAATCAAGTCCCCAGTTGGAAACATCAGGCACACAAGCCCCCTGAACAGTGGTTTGGGGGCCAGGGAGTAGTTTCTTGGGGCTTCTGAACTCTATCCCAGCTACTGATCATCTCATCTTGGGCCAGGGGCTCCTGGGTCTGATCTCAAAGAGGCACATACTCAGTGGAGGGTGGTTGTGGGTGCTCTGAGCAGGAGTTGAGGGTCTTAACAAACAGGATGCTGATCCTCTGGCCTCCCCCACTGCATCTCCCACCAATCCTGAAGATGAAGCTGTGTTTGGCATCCCCAACCACGGCAACCCAAATACAGCCACTTGGGGCTTTGGGAAGACTCCTCCCAGCTCTTTACCTCTACCCTTCTACAGTGACCTCAAAGCTGCCAGTTTCTAAGTCACCCCCACTGACGAGAAAAGAAATAGATCCCTGGGTTGAGAGATCGCTCAAGAGATGGGGCCTGCCCAGGAATCTGCCTGCCACTGAACTGCCCGCGATGCTGCTGACACACAGTGTTCGAGAAGCCCCATTTCTGCTGGTTTAAAGTGGAAGGAAAGGATGTCCTTGTCCCCTTGCCACTGTCCAGAAGCAGCCTCTGCTCAGTTTCCCACATGTTCTTTCGGAAGCGTTCTGTGCAGATGAGCACTATTTTTCCACACCTTAATTCCCAACAGCATCGTGCAGATCAGTCTCATTTCAACAGCTGTCTGTGTTCTATCACCTGCACAGTCTGTGCTTCCTCAGCCAGTCCCCTGTGAAGGGAGATCTAGGCTTGCCTCTGCCCTCAACTCATGATCCACTGTGGAAGAAGTATCAGGGCATGCCCCCAGGCTCTTACTGCCTGCTTGCCCTTGATTTGGACAGTCTAGTTTCCCGGGCCATGGAGACTCCTTCCATCTCTTCACTGGCTTGTTGGGGACTCAATTTCCCTTCTAGAGGAGGCTTTTCCAACCCACTCTTCCCCCAGGCCTGGGGTCTAATGAAAGGGGATGAAAACATCCGAGGATTGTGGTACCAATGAGGCACCGACAGAAGCGAGAACATCCCTCTTGAGCCTGCACAAGCACTCAAGGTCATGGTGCCACACCTTACAAGATGTCTGGGATGTCCCTCTCCTAAGCTGCTGGCCCAGCCCAGGCTAGCCACGGCATGGAGGCACAGGCTAGCCATGGCATGGAGGCACAGGGCTCACTGAGGACTCCAGCCAGGTGGCCTGGCGGGGGTGGGGAGAGAGGGCCCCTGTAGGCTACTTATGGTCTGAAGGGGGGAGGGGTGATGGCAATCTCTTTGCCATTCACTCCCTTCAGAGCTCATGGTGACCATGAGGCCAGGAGCCGGGGTACAGTGAGAGGCCATAGAGCTGGGGTTGTCAGCTCTGCAACGATGTCACTTAGAGATTGCTGTCACCAACTGCCCAGGTCTAGATCACGCACCTGCCCCTGCCAACAGGAGGTCCTGGTAAAGGAAGCCCAAGGAACGCCATCCACTTTATGGCATGGAAATGAGAACCTATCTCCCTGGCTGTCCCACCTTCCCATGGCCAGAGGACCTATGTTTTTGCTTTGCTTTGCTCCCACCCATGTGTCCAGAGAGGACTTTTCCGCTTCTCTTCCATGTGTGGGGTTTCACTTATCTGATGGGAAAGTGGGTTTACTGTGTACCCATGGCTGGGTCTGACCCGGGGTGCCATCCTCCAGGAAGCTTACCTTCAGGGGCTCACCTGTACCTGCTCTGGTCTGAGGGGTGTGGCTGGCCTTAGCCCCACGTGGAGGCGGGAGAAAGGATAAGAGGGCTGGCAGAGGGGCACTTGGGGCTCAGTGAGAGCCCTGCTGTTGAGGGTCAGGCCTGTGGGTAGAGGTAGCTGAGCCAGTGGTTTCAGGGCTGAGGCCTGCACACAAAAGCAACCTCTGTGGACTACTTAGGAAAGCGGGGACGGAGCAACCCTTCTCACATGCCCACAGCTCTCGAAAGCTTCCAGAGAAGAATGGACACAGGCAAACTGGACTGAGGTTTGCTTTGCCCCTGCTAGCTGTGCAACTCTGCATCCATGTCTCAACCACTCTGATACTTGGTGTTCTCGTCTGTGAACATGCCAGTCTTGGTGGGAGTCCAGTGAGGTCACGTGTGAACAGGGCATTCAGGGTCACCTCACTGTGCCAGCCACACAGGCCCTCTTTCTGGTCTGTCAAGCACCAAGGGTCTCTCTTCTCACCTCCAGGTTTTCCTGGAGTCCTGTTCCCACGTTAGCTCATGTGTTTTTATCACAGCCCCTCCTAGGGGTCAAGAACTATTCTAGGTACTTTACAGATCTTAGGGCCTTCGAAAGGACTTATTATTTTTCCCATTTTACAGATGGGAAAATTGGGGGGACAGGATGATGTGGCCACTTGCACAGGACCCCAGTTAAAACAGGGGAGAGCAGGAATTCCAACAGAGGCAACCTGGCTGTACTGTGTGCTTCCCCCATGGCCGGGCACATTGCCAACCTTCTCTCGTTCTCTCCTATTGGGTCACTTCTGGAGACTGCCGAGAGGATCTGTTGTTCAGAGAACTGCCTTATCCATACAGACTGAACCTCAGAGTAACCAAAGAGCTACTTCTGGGGAGAATTCTAGTGAACGAAAGAATGACTTGTAATATGACTTGTAACAAAATATGGATCTAGGCAGTGGTCATGATGAGGGAGGTGTACTAGGACGGTGAGGTTGTCACTGCCTGAGCCTTCCACTCACTCTAAATGTCACTCACAGCGGGAGACCAGACACATGGTGCCTGCTGACAGCTGGATACCTACATGTTCTGTGGCTGAAAGACTTTCAACCAGAACCTGAGCAGGTGTCTTGACCTCCGGTTTACAAGAAATACACACACTGAAGAAAAGGTTGAAGAACCCCTGGGGGAGGTAATTCACTAAATCCAGGTAGTGGTCAACTCTATGGACACGTAACATGATTTCTTCTCAAAATGGGAGTTGGGAAGAAGGAAGGAAAGCTGATTTCAAGGACCTGAAAGGGACACATCAACAGCACAATGGGAGGTTCCTAATGAACAAAACAGCTGCTTTTCTGTTTCACAACAATGTACCTGTGATACAATAGGGAACAACTAAATAAAGAATAGTTGCTATTAAGGAACTGCTATTAAATCTAGTATAATAACAATAATTTAAAAAGGTTCTTATTGTATAGCAATACATTCCAAGGTCTAGATTATTCCAGATAACCCACAGCGAGAGGATGGCAGAGGCAGTTTTCAAAACAAACAAGCGGTTGTGTGTGTCAGTTAAGTGTGGCAACTGGGGGCTCAGTGTGGGCATCCCTTGAAATCTGTCCAGGACCGATTCTGGGGACACTCCTGGGTAACCAAATCAGCAAACACTCAAGTCCCCGATACAAAATGGCACAATATTTGCAAATAACCTGCATAAATCCTCCTGCTCACCCTGAATCATTTATAGGTTATCATCCTAATAATGACGTGCATGCCATGTAAACAGTCGTCACTCTGCTTAGGCAACAGTGGTGAGGGAAAATTTCTAAACACATTCAGATGCAAGCATTTTTGATGTGTAGTTGGTTGAATCCCTGGGTGTGGAGCGTACCTTACACACTCACTGTTTTACTGCCTGCCTTTCCCTGCAGAACTCACACTCCAAGGCAGCAGACAACTGGCTTTGTTTACAGCACTCCAAATGAAGCCTCAGTCAGTATGTGCTGAACAAATTCCCTGACATGTTAGCGTGCCTGTGGGCAACAAGAGCCTTTTAATTGTGCACTTCACCTAGAAAATCCAAGTAATGAGGCACCAACGCCTCGCGGGGCTGTAGTGAGGGACGGGAGAGAATGCACAAGAGGCTCACACAGCAAGAAACAAACAGCTGTGCACCCAACCCTCGATGCGGTTATCCTCGATGGAGCGCCTGGGCCCTCGCTAGGCCTCAGCTGACAATGCCCAGGAGCCCTCCAGCCAGCCACCGTGGAGCTGTCAACTGCCACCCAGCTCCCTCCTTCCGGGGCAGGTGCCCTTACCTCCGCGGTGTGCCGTCGTCGAAGGGCGGGATGATGACCACCTTCACGGTGACCGATGTACGCAGCAGGTCAATCATCTGGTCATGGGTCAACGTGACCACGGCCACCTTGCAGATCTCCACCAGCCTGCTCCCTTGCCGGAGACCGGCCTGCCAGGCGAACCCATAATCTTCCACCTCAGCCACGGTCCCATCGTACTTCACGTGGAAGCCCAGCTGCCCAAGCCCATTCCGGCGCAAGGTCATGTCCACGGTCTCCCAGCCGTTGGTCATCACCTGCAGAGAACAGGCAGGATGGAGCTTCAGAAGCCGCTTGCATCAGTTCTCTGGACGATCTCACGGGTCCCCTTCCCACGTGTCTGTGTGTTTTTACTTTAAAAGGCAGAGGAAAAAGAACGTGGACTTTCGTCCACTGGCTCACACCTCAAACATCTACCATGGCTGTGGCTGGACTGGGGTGAAGCAGGGAGCCAGGAATCCCACAACTTGAACCATCCACCTGCTGGCCCCCGTGATCTGTAGCAGCAGGAAGCTGGAGTCGAGGGTTGAGCTGGGACTTGAACCCAGACATTCTGATATAAGATGCAGGTACCTTAACAGGTATCTTAACCGCTAGGCCAAATGTCTGTCCTAGACCCTTCTTTGAGGTCAGATTGCCAACTACTCAGCCAGGTGATGGCAAGGTACCAGCAGGGGAACTTCCACCTGGTCTCAGCACATGTTCCCGTTTTTCTAGAAAACAGAGAAGACGACACAGCGGGTGGCCATGAACTTTTTCTTTAACTGCCTCTATGTTTCTCCTGGTGTCTGTGAGACTGCACTTTTTGGCCCCTCAAAATTTGACTTTCTGGTCAGCTGAATGAATTAGGAGTAAAACTGGTATGTTCCCTGAGCCAGGATATTGAACTGCCAGTTCCCTTTGCTGGAGAACAATAACCTTTTATATAATGGTGCCAGTTTGCACAGCTACGGGCCTGGTATTTAAGAGAACAGAGCTTGAGCCCAATGGTGTGGCATAGTAAGTTAAGCCTCAGATCGTAGTGTCAGCATCCTATATGGACACCGGTTTGAGTCCCTGCTGTTCCACTTCTGATTTAACTCCCTGATAATGTGTTTCAGGCTCCTGGTTTTGGTCTAGTTCAACTCTGGCTGTTGCGGCCATCTGGGGAATGAACAACTAGGTAGAAGATCTCTATGTCTCCTTCTTTCTGTAATTCTGTATCACAAATAAAAATAAAGAAAAAAAAAAGGCCCGGCTAAAGCCCTCGCCTTGCATGCACCAGGATCCCATATGAGCGCCGGTTCTAATCCTGGTGGCTCTGCTTCTCATCCAGCTCCTTGCCTGTGGCCTGGGAAAGCAGTTGAGGACGGCCCAAAGCCTTGGGACCCTGCACCCGCGTGGGAGACCCGGAAGAAGCTCCTGATTTTGGATTGGCACAGCTCTGGCCATTGTGGCCACTTGGGGAGTGAATCAACATATGGAAGATCATCTTCTTTGTCTTTCCTCTATATATCTGACTTTCCAATAAAAGTAAAATTAAATCAAAATATAAAAAAGCAAGAGAGTAAAGCATGCAGGCTGAATCCAGGATGGACACACAGCATGAGCAGGACATGAAGCTTTGCTGTTATGTGAAGCTATTAATATTGCATCTTGGCTGACATGATGATTAGCCCAATTGGGAGGCAAAAGTCACAGCCCATGGGGTCCTCTCTAGAACCAGAATGTATTATGCTGTGTTATTTCACTTCATGACACCATTCTCGGAGGCGCGAACCCCTTGCCCACTTCTTCCAATGAGGAGTCAACCGGACAGCTCAGTAGTGAGATTTCCCCAAATCGGAAAAACACCCTAAGCTCTACAGAAGCTCCAGGCACCTGCTGTGCTATCAGTGATTCCCTCTCCTTGGAATAAAAAAGGCTGAATTTACCAAGCTATGACTACTTAGTCATACACTTGCCTGCCCTTCCCCCCAAATTGCAAGGTAGGCAATGGCTCAAATCTCCTGTGAGACGTCACTCTCAGGCTGCAAATAACACTATTTAATAGACCTATTAGTGCTGGTCTTCAAACTTTTCTGACCACCACTTGAAATATGAATTAATTTTGTCTCACTGATTAAGTCATGCATCTGCACATCTGTACATACGACCCTACAAACACAAATATTCCTTGCAATCAGATGGATTGATTACCTGCTTGTGTGACGGTGAAGAACTTACCTTGAATAGGTCACCGAGTTCGTTTGGCTCACGAACTGGACGCTGAGAATTTAGCAAGCAGGGAGAACCTGATCTAAGAGGCATTTTGTAAGATAGTCCTTATCTTTTCCCACCAAGCTGTCCTTTGATCCTTTTTATTTTTCCTTATCTTATGGACCATGGTGGAGCTGTCTGTTGTGTCTGGTACCAGAGGTCCAAGGAGTTTAACCCTTCCACCGTACGAAGACACAAGAAAGGATCATCTGTGAAATGGAGAGCCAGCCCTTAGCAGACACCAAACCTGCCTGTACCTTGAACCTGGACTTCCAAGCTTTTGGAACCATGAGAAATAAAGTTCTGCAGTCTATAAGTCACTCAGTCTAAGATATTTTATCATTGTAGCTCAAACATCTATTCTTTTAAAGTTCTCACTTAGGGGCCAGCGTTGTGGCATAGAGAGCTAGGTCTCTGCTTGTGATGCTGGCACCCCACATCAAAGTGCTGGTTACAGTCCCGGCTTCTCTACTTCCAATCTAGCTCCTTCCTAAAGAGCCTGGGAGGGCAGTGGAAGTGAGTCAGTAGATGGAAGACTTCGCCTTCCTTCTCTGTCACTGTGCCTTCCAAATAAATGCAGAAATAAAATTTTTTGAAAATTAGAGAATAGCAATTGATTTCCTAGCCTATTTGGATAGCAACTTTTTTAACAATAAGGAATTATTAATTTTTAATATGTGACAACGACAAAATAGTTACTGTTTACGAGTCTGGGTATTTCAGAAATAAATACTGAAATGATATCACACCCAAGATTGGCTTCAAAATCAATAGGGGAAAAATAAGAGAATAAATAAGATGAGTCATGTGCTGTGGTTGGTCAAGTTGGTAATGGGACACAGATACATACACGATTCCTTCTGTTTGTATATTTGAATTTTTTCATAGTTATCAAGCAGAAATTGGTTGAAAGGAAAGTTAACTCCATAGAGAAAGCTTTGAGTAGGCCTATCCCAGCCCACTGCTTCCACTCTGGGAACCAACATTCTTTTTGAAGCACTCACTCTCCTGTCCAAAGGTTGGGCTTTGGGTTGTAAGAAAAGGTCCCATGGGCCCATGCCAATGGCCAATCAAGCTATATCAACCCTTGGCATTCTGGATGGCTCTCATGAAAAAGGTTCAGCCTCTTAAAGGCCAGTAAACACTGCAGAGGCCAGGACTGCCAATTGTTGTCCATCACCCACTCCTCCTTTTTCCTACCTATTTGGAAAATGTATTGCTCAGCTTCCCTTGCAGCTAGATGTGGACACTATGACTCCGTTTTGGGCTATAGGACGTAAAGTGAAGGAACTTATGCCTCATGTTCTTCAAACAGATTTCCCTCAACCCTCACATGTTCTTCCTCTGTGAAGACAGGTGTGTGGCTAGGAGGTGACTCAGCTTGGCCATGTAGATAAACATGTTACTCAGCAGCATCTGCATAGGGGAAAGGAGTGTCTTAAGACGGACACAAGAACAGCTCCCTGACAGACTCGGCCAGCTTGAGCGCTCACTGAAAGGGAAGTTTTCTACCACTTGATCTCTCAGTCTGTTACAGCAGTCCAGTTGGTCATCAGCTACTACAGCTGCTTTGGGTCACTTTGGGTGAGGGAGAGCTGCTGTGTCTCTTGTGTCTTGACAGTTCTATTTATTTTGCTTTTGTAGCAAATCAAAGGAAGCCACACATGGAGGACCATTCTTGCTCATCACAAAGTTCCAGAAAGGAGACAGGGAGTACTTGTGGTATCCAATATATAAGCCAATTCAGGGAAACCTCTGCTGTGACCTGCACACACTGACCCAAGCCCAGCTTACTGTCCTTGGGGTGGATGCATGTGCCAGGCATTGGGCTAAGCACTTTCTGTGGCCAGTTTCACTGATGTCTCACTTGGAAAGCAAAAACTACTAATTTGATTATTTTAAGATGAGGAAGTTTAAGATGACAGGGTTAAGTTTAGGGTGTCTAGGATGGTCCAGTCAACCTGCTTGACAGTCAAACTCCAGCTTTGTCAGGAGAGGGTTGGCATCCTCGCCTTGGCGGATTTTACAAGAACAGATTCACCATGAGGAGTCCTTCAGGGTGGGCCTGCCCCATCACGGGTGATGGTTAATATTACTGCTTTCTGGCCCAATGGTTCCTAAGTAGAGTGTGGAGCTCTGAGAATCAGAATGAGGGTAGTTGTGGAAATGGGCTCTAAAAGAACAGCACCAACAGCAGGCACGAGGGTGGGCATGGGAGAGGATGGTAGAGGATGTAGGTAGAACATATAGCCTGGCACAGTTCCTGCTGTTGGGATTTGGGGAGTGGAAGTACAAGTTCAAGTTCTCAAGCTCTTAACTCACTTTGGGCCCCGGGCAAAGCTCTCATTTGACCTCTGTTTCCTCATCTACAAAGCAGAGAAGATAATGGTGTTGACCTCAGTGGGCTTCTGTGAGAAAAAAAGCAAAGTACTCCCCTTGCTCTCAGGACTGGAACGTTTGAATTCATGCACACCTCCAGTATGTGCTAAGTGTCTACGCATGCCAGATGCCAGGCTCAGGGCCAGGGACAGGGAGGTTAAGCAGGTATGTGCTAAGTGTACTGCATGCTAGATGCCAGGCATAGGGCTGGGAACTTGAAGGTGAAGCAGTAATATCATCACGTCAGAAGGTGGAAAGGCAGGCAAAGTATGTGGAATGTGTTCTGGGCCTAGTCAGGCAAGGGAGTTTGCTACCTCCATGATGCCTCACAGACAAGGTGATGCTGGACCAAACAGAAGGCAGGGAGCCATGTGAAGATCAGCAAGGGAGATTCCCACAAGAGAACAAAGGCAGTGCCAAGGCCTGAGTCCAGATAGATGCCTGAGGAGGTCTGTGGTAGCTGGGACACTACCACTAATGGGGAGACAAGGTCAGAGAGCAGAGCATACGGAGCCTCCTAAGCTGCTGTAGGATTTTGCCTTTTACAGAGAGCTAGCTGAAGGTCTGGGGTCAGCAGTGACGTGATAAGACCTCTCTGACTATGGAGCACAGGACGGATCATGGGAAAAGTAGGCTGGGAAAACAAGAGGTCAGCGAGGAGGCCGTCACAGCTGTCCAGAAGAGACCACAGTGGCTCATGCCAAGGTGGTGATAAAGGAAAGGTAGCTGCAGTCTGCCCACTAAAAGATGGCGCTTGTTTGGAGGTTCTAGTAGGGGAGCACAGCTCCTTGTATACCCTTGATTGAAGACCGGTCCTCCTCTAGCAGGGATGGTCATCCTCTTTGAGCACGCAGCTTAGGGAGGGACACACATGGAGTGGTGAGGAAGGGGACACTCACATAGCCAGCCGGATCAGCCGAATCAACCCTGGCGATCAATGGGGTGACAGATAATGCAGCCAAACTGCCCTCTCATCCTGCCCTTGGAACTCTTATTTCAGCAGTCTCATAGGCACACTAGTAGAGATGCTGAGTTTGGGCAGAGGTGATTTTTTTTAAAGATTAATTTATTTGGAGGTCAGAGTGACAGAGAAAGGGAGAGGGAGAGAATAAAAGATTTTTCATTTACTAGTTCATTCTCCTAATGCCCACACCAGTTGAGCATGGGCCAGGCCGAAGCCAGGAGCTTGGCGTTCCATCCAGGCATCCCACACGGGTGGGAAGGCCTCAAGCACTTAAGTCACCTGCTGTTGCTTTCCCAGCAGGGAACTGGATTGAAAGCACAGCAACTGTGGCCCAAATTGGTGCTCTGATATCAGACGTTAGCATTGAAGGTGGCAGTTCAATTTGTTGCTTCCAGAACACAATAGTAGCCCAAGAAACAGGTGTTACAGTCAGAAAAGCCTGTATACAGACCCCACTCTGTCATCTACTGGCTGACATTATAAGTATTCTATCTCTCCAGGCCTCAGTTTCCTCAACTGTAACCCGGGGCCAAGAATGGGACCCACACTTCATAGGGTGGGTACAAGGATTACAAAATTGTTCATGCAAAATGCTCAGCACTGGGTAAGGACTCAACAAATTTGCTTTACCAACTCACCAACTAATTCATATTCATTGAATATCTTCTGTGTGCTAGCCCTGTTCTAGGCACATGAGACAAGCAAGTGAGCAAAACCCATAAAGGTCTTATTCCCAGATCCTACTTCCTAAAAGGAAATCTCAACTCCAATGGTTATTTCTCCCTTGACCTGGAACAAACTCCGGAGCCAAAGAAGCCAAGAGCAGACCTTTCCTCATCCTGCACTTCCTGAGAATGCAAAGGCCAGCCTCCGTGATGGTGGTGCTATGAAGTCAGGTCAACTTCTCCGGGCAATGTCATCCATGTACCCCTTAACACTGGTCCATAATGTAGGATTTTTGTTCCCACTTTTCAGATGGGTCAAGGACACACAGTTTGTAGGAGGCAAAGTTAGGACTTGAAGCTAGGCCTTCTGACTCTAGCACCTATGTTGTTCAACTACTGTGCAACACCTCCTTTTCTATTTAGTAGACATGAAGTGCCACCCTGCTAACTTCCGGTGGAGGTAGTCACTGACCGAGGAGTCCCTTCTGTGGAGCCTGAGTCTTTCTTTGTATAAGGCTGCAGGCAGTCGCTACCAATTGAACTGCGATCAATCAGCAACTCTCAGTTTGGCCAACAGTCTTAGTCTGAGCTGTTCACCAGGAGTTCACAATGAGATTTTTAATGCATGACACCTTTCCCAGGCTGTGTCTTACCTTTAGTCTCTGCACAATTTCCCGTATGTCCTCAACAGAACCCTCTGTGGACTGTAGGAAGATGTGATCCCCTCGCCCATAGAAGATTTTCAGTGTCGAGGAGTCTGGGGTCCAGCCAATGACATCCCCACAGTAGCAGTTGAACACCACCTCCTTGGTGCGCAGGTCCAGAAGCACCACAAATTCGTTGGAAATTCCCAAAATGCAGTCAATTTCCACTCCTTGGGCATAGTCCTGAGCTGCCACCCTCCAGGCGATGGCCCCTGCGCTGTGCTGCTCTGCACCCACCCGTGCCTTTGTCTTCTCCTTCTTCTTGGAGGTCAGGGAGATGAGGTTGAATTTACCAGAGGAGTCGATGGGTGTGTTGGATATACAGTTTTCAGCCAGGTCCTTGAGGTATTCCTGGCGGGTCCTGGTGGCCATGGTGTGGAACTTGTCGGATTTGTGAGCAGCATTCTCAGCATTAATCACCTTGGCCAGCAAGAAGTCTCTGAAGACGTCAGATTTGCGGAATGTGGTTCCATTGGGGATCGGGGGACCGAAGGGAGGAGCATCTTTGGATCGGGTCACAGCCATACTGAAAAGGGAGGAGGGAGAAATCGCTGAGGCAGGCGGGAGAAAAGCACTGAGACTGTCTTAAGAAAATACATGATCAGAAGGAGGAGCTTTGTCTGGAAGAACAAAGTGCACATCTAATGAGTAAGCTGCTAACTAGATTAGAAGCTTTGAAACAAGCCTTACACATGCTTATACATTTTTACTTTCTATACAGTAGATGTTTAAACACCCACAGATGTCAATGATAGTACCTTGAACACTGTTCAGCTTCAGTTCTTATTTCACACACACAATCACTGTGTGGTAGATGAGATTACAACTTGCGGAAAATTCACTGCTTCCTCCCCATCTTTGTATGCTGGTGTGTCCCTGCCCCAGTGATGATCTAAGCCTGGTCAAGTGACTTGACTTGACCAATGGCTTTTAATCAAAGACTTGAAATTATCAGGGGAAGAATGGGTCTGCCTCCTATTTCCTGCATCACCAGCTGGGCTGTGGTCCTGGGTCCCTTTCTCAAAGCCTCTGCTCCTGTTGGTGGTGGTGGAGGGTCTTTCTCCCAGGGTGACTCACCAACTCACAGAAACCTTTGCTCCCAATCCTGTTCTTATTCTGTCAAGTTGGGTGGTGCAGAAATGTCTCCCTGCTGTTGCTAGCCCCTAAATGCCTCACTCTGCCACACAGGCTCTATAACCTACCCACACCATGCCAGCACCCTACTGTCTAACTTCACTTACATCCATCCCTGAGGTGAGTACTTGCTTCTTGCTGGGCCCCTCTCCAGCTGGAACTGGAGAGAATGACCAGAGACTGGTCATGTGCAAAGATCTCTGTGGTTGCCTAATGAGGAACAGAACATGTGAGAAGCCACAGGGAGGGGGCTACTGTAGGATCCCCATGCAGCAGCTCAGACCATGGCACTCTCTCAATGTTTAGAGAGGCTTCATACCCTAGAAGGGCCAGGTGGGCAGGTACCCTGGGAGCCTAGCGGATTCCCAAGCAGGTACTCAGTGTAAAGTAATGATTAAAACTTGAACAGATGGACCCAGAAGAAACAGATTTAGACCAACGTGGCACAGTGGATAAAGGGTTAACAAGATGGCATTTCCCAGGACAGACATTCTGGAAGAGGTCACACAGACCTGGCAAGTTTTCCTTAGAGGGCAATTAGGTGGGCACAGCCTTGTCCCCCAAGCTGGGGATGGATGAGATGACCCCATGAGTCCCTCAGCTTGAATTGATGATGTGGTCACTGGGCTATGTGGGCAGGAAGACTTTTGCAGCATCTTCATTCAGCATTTGGTTGCTTAAAGGGACAGAGTTTGGCTTTTCCCACAGTTCTAATTCATGATTTCAATAATCATGAAAACTGCAAGCTGCTGAAGGCTCTTGGACCATCAGAGCAGCTTGTCTGGCTCTTCCCAGCAGGAAAGGCTGGGCTGTTTCAGTGTGCAGGTCCCAGGGGTGCTCACTAAGACACAGGCCCCAGCACACAAGATGCCATGCCTGATGTAGTTAGGCGACGGTGTGACCACTACGGTCCCTGACCATCGTAGCTTAGAATTTCTAAAACTCATAATTATTCATTTAACAATTCTAGAAATTATTCATTTAACAATTATCTTCTTACTGCTTACAATATCAGGGCCAAGTATCTGTCTAGCCAGATACTCAAGTGCCCACAATGTGCCATGATAGAAACATGAAGGCACAAATGATCCTGGGAGTGCTTTCACAGGGAGCATGAGCCATGGGAAGTCGTTTTCATGGTGTGGTTGAGTATTGTGTTAGAAGTGTGATTGCACAGCATGCGGAGAAGGTAAAGGGCCATAGGAGGGTGACCAAGGCATGTCTGACTCAGCCTTGAAGGACAGCTAAGAATCCAGTAGGGGAACTCGGGGGAGTCAGAAGGGGCAGGAGGACAGGCCGGGGTGGGTGGGGCCTGGACATCTGCACCTCCCACAGGGGAGAGCCTGGAGGTCAGGTCTGTCCAGAGAATAGCTGCCTGGGGCAAAGGAAAGGAGGGAACTGGAGGAAGGCGTGAGGGGCAGCTTTGCATGCGTCTCTAACACTTCATTCTTTAAAAGAAACAAGGGAGAGCTGAAGCAAATGAGGCAAAATGTTAACATCTGTTAAATCTGGTGCTGGGCACATGGGTGTCTGTTACATGATTTTTGCACTTTTTAGAAGGTTTAGAATATTGCATAATAAACACATTTTAAAGTTAGATTGTAAAAAACAAGAAAAGTTTGTACATCAGTTAAGAAGAAATTACCCTGGAGATCACATGGAGCTGGATGGGAGAGGAAGGAGGTTGTGGTTGACCTAGAGAGGTGGACAGAGTGAGGAGGAGGGTGAGAAGGACCCACCCAAGCCAATTCACCTCCCCAACTTGGATAGCTACTTTTCCGGGGATGGGTGTATGTGTAAATAATTCCCATTTTGTCTCACCAGGGCTACCTCTCAGTTACTGAGGAAGAGCAAAACTCGAAACCCTAGCACCGTCCAGGCATGCTCTGTGTCACACTGGGCCTGAGGTGAAGGCACTCTGGGAGCAAAGGGGCTGGGAGGAGCCAGCTTCAAGCGTGGGGCCTTTCCTGTTAGCAGGTCCTGGTGTGCAATGAGCTGGTGGTACCCAGCTACCAGCAGACAGTACCCCCAGACCAGCAGCGTGCACACAGACATCCCCTCCAGCGCCAAGAATGCACCCTATAGATACATATTTGCAAATATGTGTGTGGAGAGTGCAACCAGGTTATTCACGGCCAGTGCCCACCAGTGGAGGAGTGTGCTTAAGGGTAGAATATGAGGCCATAAGAAAGGATATGAATGTATGCTGTATACTGGTGTGGGAAGACTTCAAAGACAGCTGAGTGAAAAAAACACAGGCTGCAGAAGAGTGTACACGATGGACTGCCACACGTGTGGCAATGGATAACAGGAAAATGAACACACAGCTGTCGACATGGCAGGTATCTGGAATGCCCAAGGAATGGCTGACCTGGCAGCCTCCATGAAGGCACCTCAGAAGGTAGGGGTCAGGGCACTCTTAAAAGTGGGAAGATAATACATCCCGGCCTGTTCCCAAGTCTGCAGGGACACGTGCTCACCTTGGCCTGGGCCCAGGTTACTGACTGGACCAAGGACCAATGGGCAAGGACTACAGCTTTGGCCTCCCTCTCCAACCTCTGAGAGCTTCCCCCTGCTTGTTGGGGCTGCTAGCTCCTCCGGGCTTCATGCTGGCAGGGGGAGGATACGGAACAGAGACGTCTAACACCTAGGAGGCCTGGCCCATGCTTCTTCTCCACTTGTTAACTGAAAGTCGTTAATTCTTCCCAGGTGGGGTCCACCTCCATGGGTGGCCCCTGAATGCCCAGTGCCCATCCTTCTGTTTTGATATTCTCTGGTGCATCCTTCCTGTGCCCGTCAGCCCTGGCGCCCAGCCCGGTCAATCCCTTGGTTCTGGGAAGGCAACTGATCCCAGCCAGGTCTGTGAGCTCTGTTTTGGAGCTTCTGCTTCAGCTCCTGGGAGGGAAGAGCTCTCCTTCTGCCACATCTGCAGCTGACAGGAGGTTAGGCTCCGAGCTGCCAGGAAATGAAGGTACAGACAGGAAAATGAAGCAGATCCGGTCATTCCTACACTTGTCATTTTTGAGAGCCAATAGATACAACGGCTTTTTTTTTTTTGTCTTAGGCCAGATTTAGAAGGGAGGTTGCTGTCGCACAGAAGACAGAAATCGTTGATGGGGCACCTCCCCCTGACCGAAGCACTACTGGGCAGCACACGGGGTGGCCAGGAGCTCTGCGCCCTCTGTGCCCCGCCTGGTGCGGGTGGGCCTACCTGTAGCACACATTCTCTGTGCAGGGGTTGTGGACGCGGACAATGATGAAGACGTGCTGAAAGTGCGAGCGGATGTTCTTGGGGGTGAAGGGTAGTGCTCCGGGCTCCTGGAAGATGATCGTCACTATGTCATTGCCTATGTGCCTCTTCCTCAGCAGCTGGTGAACGGGCAACAGAAGGGAAAGTGTAACAGGTCAGCTCAGAGTCCTCCTGGACCACTGACACAGCTTCTCGCTGTCACTCCGCTCCCATTCCAGGTTCCCATTGCTCCCCATGTGTAACACACATACGGGATCCGCTGCCACCACCTGTGTCCTATGTGACATCTCCCAGGCTCCTCTCTACCCTGGTTCCTGCAGCCTCAGCACTGGCTGTCCCCTCTGCCAGCTCCCCCACAGGGCTCACTCCCTGGGTCTCTGCTGCATCATCCCCCTGCTGTGGAGGCCTTTACTGACCTCTTTTCTGCATGATCCAGTCCACACCCAGCATTCCCCGTCTCCATTTATTCATCGCTGTTACTAATGCTCAATTCAGGTTTCTCATACAGGAACTGGGCTATCACCTACTGCCTTCCAGAATGCACTTGAGTAGCATGCTGGAACTGGAGCTGGAGCTGGGACTTGAACCCGGGCACCCCAAGAAAGGATGTGGGCCTCTCAAGAGACATTTCAACCATTGTGCTACATGCCTGATACTCTGTTAGCTCTCTTTTTTCCCCTCTCTTGTTTATATTTATTTTAAAAGATGTATTTATTTGAAAGGTAGAGTTATACCGAGAAAGGGAGACAGATTTTTCCAACCACTGGTTCATTCCCCAAATAGCTGTAACAGCTGAGCCTGGGTCAGGCCAAACCAAGAGCCTGGAACGCCATCCCGGTCTCCTATGTGACTAGCAAGTGCCCAGGCACTTGGGCCATCTTCGGTTGTCCTCCCAGACACATTACCGGGGAGCTGGATGGGAACTGAAGCAGCAGGGACTCTAGGATTCATATGGGATGCCTATATTACAGGTGGTGGCTTAACTCATTGTGCCACAATGCTGCCCCCTCCTGGTAGTTCTAAACTACCTTAAATTACATTGCTAGATCAAGTATTGTGGTGGATCCTGTGCTAGATATTTTACAATCATTTACAATTTACATGTATAATTTCACTGAATCCTGACAACAATCCTGTAACGGATGAATTCATTTCATGCCTTTTAACAGGCAAGACAGCTCACAAAGATGGAGTGATTTGCCCTAAGTCAGGCAGTGATGCAGGATTCTAATCCACTTCTGTTTATGCCCAACACAGAGTCCAGTCAGAAGAAGGCACCTGGTCCGGCATCACTCTGGGTGTCAGGCCTTGCCTCATGCTCCAGTGTGTGGGAGCATGGCCTTTTATTGGTGAGGGCCCAGAGAACTGGCACCATCCTTGCGTTCAGTTCACAGAGGGGCAGCCTGAGGCTTGGCAGGTGAAATCACTTGCCTGAGGTCACACAGCCGGGAAAGGCAAAGAAAGAACTCAGAGAACAAGACTCTTCACTGGCATAGCTATCTGCTCAGTCTTACAAAATTGCCAATACTGGATCACTTTTGGCCTATAGAATCTACAGTGTCACTTGTATAAACCGAGAACGAACACTCACTTCCCAACTGGTCAACACTGTGAGATTTTTGTTCACTAGAAGGAATGGCTCCCCAGGTCCCATGGTGTGTCCTAGGGAGAAGCTGGGTCACACTGGTGGTCTCTGGGCACCTGGAGGGTTGCTGTCACTTCTCCCTCTGTCCCCTTCCTTCTGTGTCCCACATCCATCCCCTTTGGAAAGCACCTCCCTGAATGTACTAACCCTCCCAGGGGTGGGCACATGACTTAGATTTGGCCGATCAGCCCCTTGCATCCCTATCCTTGGTGAGAGACTGGCACGTGCAAGACCCAGTGAGACTGAGCCCCGAAATGTTCTCAGGACAATTGGAAGAAACAGCTCTCCTTTCCCTGCAGCAGCCTCGCCAGGGGCAGGGGACTCCATGGCTTCTAGGGAACCTGCTTGTCATGACTTATAAGGGCCTGTGAACAAAGCTTCTTCAAAGAAAAGCAGAGGGGAGAGGACTGTTAATGCTGTTTGAGCCACTGGATCCAGTCACACCTAAAGCCAGCCCTCTCTCAGAACTCCCCTCACCAGTGTGAGTTTCTGCCACTTGCAATCCAACTAACGCTGACTCATTTTTATTCATAAGACCAGTGATGACTCAAGACACCCCTGAGGGGGGTCAGGGCAGCTAAGGTCAAGCACGGAGGCCAAAAAATAACAAGTAAAACAACAGGTACTAAACAGACATCACACCACACCTGGGCTAGTTTCTATCCTGGGTGAAGGGACCACGTACAGGGTGTCTCCAAGGCCACGGGCCTCCATCTGACCCGAGGGAGAGTGCTGGGAGAGCCAACGCTGGACAGAATGTTAGAAAAACAGCCACAGGGACGATCAGGAACCATCACTGACCTGCTGCCTGTTGTTGGGGGTGTAGGGGAGCAGGGTGGAGACGTGGAACATGATCTCATAGTCCTGGTACGTTGTGTAGAGGGAGTGGGTTCCCGTGGAGTCAGCTGAAACAGACACACCAGTTAGTACATTTCCAAAACCCATGGGTTTCTGCCATGTCCCACACACCATCTGTGCTAGCTTTTGTAACTTGATGCTTTCACTCAAATCTACTCTTTAAATAAGTTTAGATAAAAAGGAAACCTCCTCCCAGTATACCCAGCAGATTGATAAAAAGTCTGATAGTATGCAAGGTTGGTGAGGATACGGGGCAATGGTATCTGTTATGTGGTTACTCGAGTATGTAAAACTGACACAGTCACTCCAATAATCCAATGCTCTCCTGGAAACATCCTGCACATGTGCCCTGGGACATGGGAACAAGCAGCTTCAGTCAAGAGAACAGACAGGCACGCTGCAGTATATTCACACGGAGGAACACTAGCCAGGAAAAGGAGTGAGTCAGGCCTGCAATGGGGGAATCCTACAAATGTAACACTGCTTGCGAGATGCCACACACAAAGGCACACATATGGTATGATTTCATTCATGCTATGTGTCAAAGCAGACCCCACAAATTATACTGCATAGGGCTGCATCCCCAGGTAACAAAGCTATGAAGAGTGAAGGTATCAGTCACTTCTAGCAGCAGGAAGGCGGTCAGGATGAGGGTGAGCCACAGCGAATGACGACTCCACATGAAGAGGGGAGAAGCGAAACAAGCAGAGGGAGCGCCTTGTCCGAGGTCACACTGCAGTAAGTGGCTATCTCAGGCCCGTATTCTTAGTGCTCCAGTGTCAGGTGGGAACAGCACAACCAGAGTTCGCTGGCAGTAGGGGCATCCCTGCCTGTCAGTTGGGGAGACTGCCCAGGACACTGTATTCCCAGGGTCCTCCAAGGCAGTTGGTTTCCACCTGGAAGCCACATGGCTATAGCTGGTGTCTGCTAGGTGCTATTCCTGGACAAGGCCTTGGGCTGGGCATTTGTAACCTCATGGAACCCAGGGAGGATGGCAAGACTACAGAGAAGCCTCTTTTCCTTTTTCTGACTATGCAAATTCATGAAAAAGTGATGCTGGCCAGTGGTCACACTGTCCTGTTTCCCAGGTGCTGGGGTGGGGTCAGCTGCCATATCACCATCCACTGGGCAGTAGTCACACCTGCAGAGCTTAAGGAATATTGGCACAGAGTGTATGGGTCACTGTGGTCTGAACCCTCACCATGTTTGAGACCAGGACCACCATGACACCTCCTTTACAGATGAGGAAACTAACGCAGAGAGAGGTAAAAGCCCTCTGTCCATGACCGCCAGGCCAGGAACAGCACAGTAACATGTCTAGTCTTGTGATTGCCTCCTCTGACAGGGCGAGCAGAGCTGATGAGTGTGGCAGCCACAGGTACCTGCTTAACGCTTCATGTTGCTGAGGTGAGTTTTGGGATCTGGGCTTTCATTTTAACAGATGAGCAAACTGAGGTTTACCCATGTGTGGAGAAGGGCATCTAGAGATACACACACACAGCGTGGAGCCACCACCTGCCTTAGCAGATGCACCAATGTCGGAAACATGTTTCAGGGTGGCTACCCTCCCTCTGCACAGACCCCCCCCACCAGCCTGCGCACTGCTGCCTGTCACCCCGTGACTCACCCTTAGAGCTCCCTATTTAAGAAGAAATCCCCCTGAAGTGTGCTGCTGCTGTGCTAAGTAACTGAGGTAAAAGGCATCACTCAGTGCCCACTCTTGAGTCCCTGTCCACACGCACCTATGCAGGACATGGGATGTGGTCCCTGCACAGGCTGGTGAGGGTCCCATATCTTGCCTGCATACCCTGGACGCACTGCAGTGCTGGGGCTCGAGTAGGCAACATGCCTCCTGGTGTGCGTAGGCATCAGCTCACTTGCACAGTTTACATACAGGAGTACCAATTCTTGGGGTATGGACTAGGGCTCGTTCCAGCCTTTACTAGAATGTGCTACCTCTGTTTTCTAGCTTGCAGCAGACTGCGGGTGTGCCTGCTGACCAGTGTCCTCCCTGCAGGCCTTTCAGCTTTGATCCATCCATAGGGTGGCAGCTCCCAGTGATGCAACCAGGTCCCCTTCCCCACTTACTCTTGACGTCCAGCTGGGCGGCGTACTTGGTGAACCCCTTGAGGCAGACTTTCTCGCCGATGAGGGAAAGGAATTCCTCGAAGGCCGGGCCTGCCTCCTCGTTGTTGTACATCTCCTCCTCGGAGCTCTGGCCCGCCTTGCAGTAGAGGATGCCCACCTTGTGCTTCCGACAGAGCTGCCGAGACAAGAGCAAGCTTCTGGAGGGAGGCCAGGCGGAGCTGGTGGGAAGGGGGCAAGGGGATGCTCCTGCTTGCTAGCCTTTGGGAGCTGCTAGGAGCCCTCAGGAATTCAGGGTCACAGCCAGAGAGCAAGGCAACGGGTGGCAGGGCATGTCCCAACTGTCTGTCTCCCCTTCCAGTTCCAGTGAGGTGCAGCGAGGTATCCGTGCTGCCTGTTCGCTTCATGGTGAGTGGAAGGTGGCTAGAAATGTCACTCAGATTCTGCAACAGCAGGAGGGCTTAGGGGTCACAGCTTACAGTGTTAGCGGGTAGGCCTCCAACAGCTAGGCTTGTCTGAGGTGTCCTGGTCACTGTACCACGGAAAGACAAGTGACCCCGGGACACGCTCATCAGTGGCTCTCCTAGGATCTGGAATTAGCTTCCTGGAGTGTACAGCACGTGGCTGTAATTCTAAACCTGACACAGGGAGCTGCAGGCAAGGCCAGAGAGCAGAGCTGCTGAGGAGAGGCACGCGGGCACCCGGGTGCACACTCGCGTGGAAACCTCGTAGCTCTCATCTCCACACAATTCCTTCCTAATTTACCTGGCCACACTCTTGCTCCTGGAGGTCCCACAATTTGATAACAGACCACCATTTCTCCTGCTCTGCTTTTCTGAAACTAGTGTAAGTTGGTTTGTTACTTAGACCCCCCCCAAAAAAAGATGCCAGGAATGGTGCTGGGGTGGCTGCCTGGTGGCCCCTGCCCCAGGCCCTGACTCACCCCCTGCTCGTCCAGCTTCAGGAGCTGCTCCGTCACTTTGGGAGTGTTGAGAGCCAGCCGCAGGCAGTGGATGTTGAGCTCAGGGATCACGTACTCCAGCGCGTCCTTCAGGGGTAGGCCCCGCCCCGTCCCATGCTTTGTGGCTGTGGGGGTGGCATCTTCCAGGATGGAGCCCCGCAGGGTGATGAGCTGCTCAGGGGAGACAGGGGAGAGTTAGGAGACCCTTGAGAAGTAGGGGTCTACGGTCAAGGAGTCTTGAGTCTGAGCCAGAGTTTGAATCGCTGCTTCCCAGCTGCCTGGTCTCGGCTAGGTGATTTCCTATTTCTGCCCTGAGCTCCTCTTTTATAAAACGGGAGTTGTCCTAGTAGTGTCATCTTGAAGGGGTGCTGGGAGGACGAAGCGAGGGCTAGGAGATATGTTCAGTGCAAACTGAATGACTCTTGGTGTCAGTCCCATTTTAGGCTCACTGAACAAAACAAAACCAGGTCCCACGTCCCTGGGAGGTGGGGTGACATTAATGTGCTCAAGGTGGGCTGTTGCAGAAAGTGAAGCGAACATGAACATGAGACTCGACGAGGAGAGGGCTTCTCATTACAACTTTATGTTACAGATGACCACAGACTCTCGCCCAGAACACCTGCCTGCCTTGGTAATTGGTATTTGGAATCTTAAACAGTTTCAAAATCAATACCAGCAGTTCTGATTCAGCTGGTGTGGAATGGAGCCCAAACATGCAGTCATGCATGGATTTTTAAAATGCTTAAATAAAAAAAAATCAGAGGTACAGTGTTGGGGGGAAGGAACAGAATGCTCCTGTAGGCTGGTTTGCTCCTTAAATATCCATGACGGTCAGGGGGCTGAAGTTGGGAGCCAGCAGCTCAATCTGGACCTCCCATGTGGGCAGCAGGAACCTAACAACTTGAGCCATCTCTGCTGCCTGACTCCCAAGGTCTGCAAGGTAGGAAGCTGAGAACTGAACTCGAGTACTCCAATATGGGATGCCTGCATCCCAACAGGTGTCTTGGTCACTAGGCCAAGCGCCACCTCTAAACTTTTTTTTTCACCTAGTTAGAAGGCAGAGACCTTCCATTCACTAGTGCTCACTACTCCCAATGCCTACAACAGTCACAGCTGGGCTGGGGTGAAGCTGGGAACCTGGAACTCCTTCAGGGTGTCCCTCATGGGTAACAGAGACTGAAGCACCTGAGCCATTATCTGCTACCTCCTGGGATGCATTAGCAGGGAGTAGGATTAAAAGCGGAGGGCCAGGAGTGATCTAGGTGGGACCCCCAAGTGGAGATACTTGATGCAGAGCTGTGATGCCTGGCCCTAAACTTCTCTTTCAATTTCACTTTCCTGGGAATCTTCTGAAGTGCCCTCCTACAAGCACACAAGAGTTCACCTTACCTGATTCTGACATGCAGAAACTGTGGCCAGAGCCAGTCCTGATTGTCCCCGCTCCTCCCTCAGACAATGCTTTCCAGGCTTTTCCTATAGCTGGCCATGTGATTAGCTCTCAGCAAGGTCAAGCAAGGTGACCTCTGTTTGGGGAGGCCCTCTAGGTTACATCTTCCTCTCTGCCACTAGGAAGGTTCCTTTCCTTCTGTGTTTTCTTGTTAGGGACACTAGGGAGATACCTGGGGGTATGGCAGCTATGCTGTGATTATGAGAAAATATACAACAAAAAGACATGGAGAAGCTGAGTCCTGCATTTGCTGAACTCCAAAATTTCTTTCTTTCTTTATTGGAAAGGCAGATCCACAGAGAGCAAGAGAGACAAAGATCCTCTATCTTCTGTTTCACTCCCCAAATGCTGCAACAGCCAGGGCCAAGCCAATCTGAAGGAAGGAGCCTGGAGCCTTCTTCAGGTCTCCCACGCGGGTGCAGGGTCCCAAAGCTTTGGGCCGTCCTCTGCTGCTTTCCCAGGCCACAGGCAGGGAGCTGGATGAGAAGTGGAGCTGCCGGGACATGAACTAGTACCTACACAGCATCCTGGTGTATGTAAGGTGAGGATTCAGAAACCAGGCTATCACGCCAGGCCCCAACCTTTAAAATTTGTACTGGGTAATAATATAGCTTCTTATTTGTTTTAGCTATGGTTTGTCAGCGCTCCTATTTCTTGGTGGCCAAGGAGTTTTCTAACCAATGCACCTTAATAACGGCTCCCATTTCTGAGGGTACAGCTCACAGGCCTGTACTCAGGTGCAGCGGTAATATCTAATTACATGTAGACGTCTGTTGAGGGGAGATCGTTTTTCGCATTTTACAGATGAACAAACAGAAGCTTCAAAGGTGAGGTGCCTTTTTTAAAGTCACTGTAGCTGACAAGTGGCTGGAGCAGGATTTCCACCCAGGTCTAACTTTTGCAAAGCTCATGATATCTTTTTGTTTTGCTGTGAAGTATAACTCACACAGGTGAAAGTATATCTGTGCATGGTCACGGAACTCGTAAGGAAGAGCCTGGGCAGTCCCTACCCTGAAGCCCTTCCACAGCCCTTCCCCTTTCCCTGGGATAACCTCAGGCTGACTTCCGACAAAATTATCTATTTCTGCCGGTGGCTTCCGAGCTTCCTGCACTTTGTAGCCTTTGCTGAAGAGACTTCCTTCTCTTTGTGGCCAGAGGCTCACGTTTTTGCCACTACAGGTTACTCCTCTCACCTGCTGATGAAACAGTGAGCTGCTTCTGGTATGTGACAATTGCAAACCGTGCCGTTGGGGATGGCTACAGAGGCACCTCGTGGTGCATGGGAACACATTTTCCTTTGGGTTTCTACCTAGGGGAGAAACTGCTAAACCACTAGGATTGCTAGTCTTCACCTGTCTGAACTGTCAAACTGTTTTCCAAGGGGCTGTTCCAATTTACACCGTTAGTCCTGTCTGAGAGCCCTGTGGCTTCACATATCTACCAGTTTCCCATCATGGCGTGAGCTGGCCACCAGGACCAGAGACATGGAAAATCCCTTCCCAAAGGGGCATATCACACACCCGAAATACACCAGGGACAATGGCTTAAACACTAAAGAGAACTGGTGTTAACCACCCAAACATGCTCACTTAAGTCAACAGACTGGAGGCAGCAAAATTGTGTCAGGACTTTGCCTATAAGCAGACAACCCACTCTTGCTAAACACGACCCAGGGCAAAAAGCGAGTATGGAAGGAATGAAATGATCTCATGGCTGGGAGTTCCCAGTTCTAGCCACGGTAATTAACAAACAAGCAAATCTCTTTTTATCACAGGCAAGGGAGTTTGGAAACAGACCCTGAACAGCAATGATGTCAGGTGCTTTCTCTTGCCAATGTGGGTGGCCCCCGGGGTTGTGGGTTTCAATTAAAGCACCAGCAGGATCAGCAGCATTTTCCATCCCACTGACACTGTCCCGCAGTGCCCTCTGCTGGGGCCATGGGACACCAACCAGAACGCTTCACCTGCCCAAAATCCACTATTAGAAAAAGGCTTAGCTTTTCTTTCTGCACTGGGGACAATGAGGAGGATACTGAAAGATCATGAGTGGGCACCTCGTTTCACCTGTTCATGTCCACTGTTATGTCCCGCCTGGACAGCCGCCTCACCCTGGACTCCCTGGTGCTGCCCCACTTTCAGTCTGTTCTTCCTGCAGTAGCATCAGATCACAGCTGTCTGTCTCAGATCCTGGTAATATCTGGCATCCTCTCACTGTGGGTAGCAAATCAAGTGTGCTGTGAAAGCGACAGTACCACGTAAGCAAGGGGTCTCCTGCCTGCACAGGTTGGTCTCCATCCAGTCCTGATTCATGCATTCCCCACTTTCTGCTGTGCTGTGAGTGTGAATACCCTTAAAAAAAAACTTCTCCTAAAGGTTGCTTGGGAATTGGTCTCCTTGGCTGGGTTTGAATCCTAGCTCTACCTTGTACTTAGCAATGTGGAGGGAGGGAGGGCAGGAGGGAGGGAGGGCAGGAGGGAGGGAGGAAGGGAGGTGGAGGGAGGGAGGAAGAGAGAATCTACTGGTTCACTCTCCATATGGCTACAACAGCCAGGGCTGGGCTAGGCTAAACCCAGGAGCTTGGAACTCTTCATCCAGGTGTCTTGTGTGGGTGGCAGAGGCCCAAGCGCTTGGGCCATACTTTGCTGCTTTCTTGGGTACAGTAGCAGGGAGCTGGATAGGAAGTGGGACAGCCAGGATGCAACCCAGCACACATAGGGGATGCTGGCATTGCAGGTAACAGCTTAAACTACTGAACCACTCCACCAGCCTTTGTACTTGCCACTTCACTGACAACACAGCGATGAGAATGGGCACCTCACAGCACTGAAAGGAGTCCATGGATGGCTTCTTAGCCCAATATCTGGCTTACAGCCAGAATATCACACGTTAGCCACATATATCTAATATCTAAGGATACAAAGCCACATGTATAATGAGGAATTTTTAAGAATTCAACTTTAAATGTGATTTTATAATTTGTTTTTCCCCCCTTGGGGTTCATCTTAAGGGCATGCACATAATGTACCTACTGAACTAAAAAGGAGGAGGTACTGTTTGCTTTCTTCATTAAAAACATCCCATTTCCTATTTAGCACACCTATCAAAATGGTACTTCTTAAACCACTGATAAAGAAAAATTCTATTTAAAGTCATATCAAAACTACATCCTACGAAAGTGCATGACTGTGGCTGTGTTGTAATGGGATAAGCTAAACAGCTGTCCTTAACAGATGCCAGAATCTTATACCAGCTACTCTATTTCTAGTCTGTCTTCTTGCTAATGAACCTGGGAAGGCAATGGGAGATAGTCTAAATCTGTGGGTCCCTGCCACCCATGTGGGAGAAAAGGACGGAGTTTCTGGCTCCTGGCTTCAGTCTGACACAGGCCAGCTGCTGGAGCCATTTGGGAGGGAACCAGTGGACGCGGAGAATCTTTTTATTTGCAGCTCCTTATCTGCTGCCTCATGTTTGCCAGGCCTGCTGGGCTGTGCAGTCCTTTGTGCCAGCCAAGGGGTTCAGGACAGAGCAGTCCTATCCCAAGACTTGTCCGATCCAGGTTTTCTGGGGCGTGGAGCTGGTGATTAGGAGTGTGGTGCCAACGCCCAGCTCTAAGTCTGTTCCTGCCTCAGTGGGATGCCTGGTGCTGCCAATGCTCACATCCCATCTGCTGGGAGCTGCGGGCCCGCTTGACACTGTGCTTGGCGGCCGGTGGGTGGCCATCTGGGGCAGGCCAGCTGGCTGGCTTGGAAGACAGCCTGGGTCCTTTGCTCCAGCCCGATGCCTTGGTTTACAGGATCTTAGGGCATGTGCTATGGACAGGAGGACAGAACTCTGTCCGCAAGCTCAATCCCTGCTCCCAGCATGGTTCTCCGGTTCTCAGGAAGGAAATGATAACGGCGTGGTGCCAGTCAGGATTGTGTCTGGCATGCTGAGCACTGACTGCCCTGCAGCCTGGTGTCACCCTGGGATGGGCAGCAGTCTGGAGGTTCTTCTCACTCCTCTAGCTGGAAAGGTGCACAGAGATAGAATATTCTGACCAAAGTCACATGGCTAGGGAAAAGCTGGAGCTGCACTGGACCCAGGGCCAGACTTCAGCACTTGACCTGACAGGCACCATGGAACAAGGTCTAAGGGCACGGCTCAGGAGCCAGGCAGCCTGGGCCCTCGGCCTGCCTCCGTTGCTGCTGCATCCTGACAGGTGATCATCAATCTGGGCCTCAAAGTCCTCACTGGTAGCATGGGGATGACAACGGGATCCCGTGTTATAGGAGAACCGAGGGGATCTGACGGGTCAGGGCACATAACTCTCAGGAGAGCGTGCGGCACTAACGCGTGCCCAGAGCGTGAGCAATGACTACTGCAGTTGTTCCTTCAGGCCTGTGGGACCCTCTGCTCTGCCTCTGTGAGGGGAAGGGCCTTAGGAAGGAGTGAGGCAAGGCTTGCTGTCCACCGCCCCCGCCTCTGGCTCTACATGATGGGGCTGTGCCTGGACTAAACCTGTGAGTGCGTGAGGGCAGACAAAGGCTTCCTTGTAGCTGTGAACCCTAAGGGGTGCCATAGTTGAGAGGGCTGACTTAATTGTGGCAAGCAGATGAGAGACCGAGACCCCTTGCTGATGGCAAACTTCACAGGCTTTCCCCAACTGCCCAGCCAAGCACTGCTTGTTGTGCGCAACCTACCCAAGCCCAAGCTGTGCAACGCCACAGGCCCTGTTAAACCTGGATTCTCAGGAGGGGAATGGGAGCTCTGAGAAGGGAAGTCACTTGCCTAAGGCTTTGAAGCTGAGTGGCAGAACCAGGACTCATGGCAGGTGTCCAAACCTCTGCACTTGCTGGTTCTGCTGCCTGAACGTTGTTCTCCCTCTCACCTTCAAGTCCACACCCAATGCCATCTTCTCAGTAAAGCCTCTTCATCATCCTGTTCAAAAATTCTGATACCCCTTCCCTCCCTTGCTCTGCTTTCTGTTGTGCCATGTTGGGCCACACAGTCTGATTTCCTATAGTTTCTCGTATCTCGTCTGTCTCCCTCACAAGAATGCAGACCCAGGAACACCTCTGCTGCCTCACTCACTCCCGTTCCCTCTGTGCCCAGGAGGGCTGGCAAATGGTGGTACCCCAGACCTGTGAGTATGAGATGCAAGGGCCTTGTTGTAAGCGGCCTGGGGCAGACTAGGGTGGGTTGGCTTTGTGGGCACTGCAGGGTAGCCCTACGCTGGGAAGGGCATCAAGTCACTCCTTTTTTTCTTTAATAAAGTCACTCTTAAAACAACTGAATGGGGACCCCTAATAGGATGGCCACACTCTGACCCAAGATCCAGGTAATAAAGCCCAGGGGCTCTCAGGACCTGTGATACAGTCTGCTATTTTAAAAATTCATTCAGCACAGTCTGTTTTCTGAAAAACAACAATGCTGGCTTTGGCTGAGCTTGTAACTCATGCATCCCATGAGTGCAGTCAGAGCCCAGCCAGTCACATCGCAGAGTGGGATGTATAGCGGCCATAGCACAGCACAGGCAGCCATCCACTCTGCTATTCTCCAGAGTGTGGTCGGCAAGTCCCTAACCTCTCTGTGCCTGGTTTGTCCTAAATAAATGAGGACAAAAGAGCCTACGTCACAGAGCGGTGATGTCAGTGGGTTAACACACACAAAGGGCATAGAACAATGTCTGCCACAGGACGTGAAGTCGAGTTGTGCCAGGTATATGTTGTGCTGCTATGTGATCACAGTTGTCAACTCACCCAGCAGTTGCCCACGTGTCTGGAAAGTCTTATGTGGTGTGAGCTGTCACCTCACATCTTGTCCTGGTGCTCATCCAGCCAGAAAGGTGGGCTGCAGGAGACGGGCTGGGAGCACCTGTGGTCTGGGGCCTGTGGTTTCGGAGCTGCCTTTCCTCCTCTGCCACCAAGCTTCCCTGCCATCTCAGTCCTCCTCCCCCACTCAGTGGGAAGGTCTGCATCAGGGGAAGGGGTATGGACCCTCAGTGAAACATCTGCCAGTCTGGGTGAGGTCCAGGGTATGGCTGGCCCCCAGACCAAATCCTAGACAGCATTGCTTGCTGGGATTTCAGGCCTGGGCAAAGGCCAGGTCCATGTGGGTGGAGGCGGTGCTGCAGCGTGGAAGGCCCATTTCGGGACACCTGCCTAGCTAATTACTGCCCTTTTTCTGGAAGATCTACTTTTCATGGGTCGTTTGGAAATCTTTTTGCAAGATTTACTTGGGTGGGTCTTTTTGGAAATGTTTCCTTGCCTAGCTCGTCTCTCCTGGGGAACTAACTGCCCCGCTTCCTCCTGCAGGTGACTCCAATGGAGCTGCCAATCACAGCACTCTGCTCTGTGACTGGACCCAGGGTGGAGTCATGTCCTAGATCTGGCCAGTTTCCTCTATCAACCCAATCACGATGACTGGCTTGGGGCGTGGGGCTTGCGATACAAGCAGAGCCAGTCACGGCCGTCTCTGGAGATGCTGCAGATGCTTTAGACCGGGAAGGTGTAAAGGCAGGGGAGATTCACACAGGCAGTCTCCACTAAGAAGAGGGAATGGCACTACGGCACAAGCTGAGCCCAGCCAAGTGGGAGATAAAATGAGGCTGTTTAGTGGGGGACTCAGACCCCAGCTATGCCTGGTTATGCGAACCAGTGAATTCCCTTTCTGGCTTAAGGCACTAACAAAGAGACTGCTGTCACTTACAATAATTTAGAGTCCTATTAGAGTGAGGATGTCCCTGACAGGCCTACCCCCTTGGTCACAGCTGCCATTTAATCCAGGGGCAAGCCAGGTCACGTGTGTGTGACATGGGGATTCTCTCCCCAGAATGGAAAATCTTGATCAGCTTAACAGCAGAACCTGTCCAGACTCCCCAGTTCCTGCCAGGCCTGAGGCTGTTGTCTTCATTCTTCTTTCCATTATGCAGGACTCCTCATAATCCTGAAATGATCTCTTTCCTCCCTCCTTGGCTTCTTCGATTAACTACAGCTAATCTCTTGCAAATAGATTTTGCAATCTTGGGCTCCAAAGTCAGGTACACTGGATTCAAAGCCCCGCTTGGCTGCTTATTCTCTGATCCTGTGCAAGTCATTTAACTTCTGGGTCTTGGTTTCCTTCTTTGCAAAATGGGGAAACCAACAGGACCCCTTCTCCTGAAGCTGCAGAGTGCTGTGTGGGTGAAGCAGGAGGGGAGCACTTGTGCCCACAAGCTGGCACCGAGGAAGGGCATGTGGAGCAGAGTGGCTCATTACCATTTATGTACTCATGACCGCAGGGATGGGACCTACCTCACGGGTCCGGAAGATGATCCTGTACTGGTACTGAGGCCCGTGATCTTTGTGGTCTTCCAGCTTCTCCCGTTTGATGCTCACGGCCACTGGCCCCAGCTTCTCATCCACGCCAAAGTAATTGGCATGCTCTGGAGGGAGAAGGGGGAGAAAGTGTTGAGCAGAGATTCAGGGACACAGGTCGTGGCCCTCCAGCTGAGGGCAGGACAGGTGGCAGGCTCTTGTGCAACCTGTGGGATCCTGCTCACCCGCTCTCATGCTTGGTTAGTCATACTCAATGGAGAAACTAATTCAGTTTGCAAAAGCTACCTTACTGTACCCCTACCCCTACTAACATAGAACATTTCGGGGATCAGTGATCTCATCCAAGAAATGGGAGCTTTGATTCAACCCACAGTTCAGAGATATGAAGGTAAGATAAAACTATGACTGTAAGACTCTCAGGACCATGTACAGCACATAATACAGCTGGCCTGGCTGAGATTAAGCCGAGCTTGGCATCACTTGACTTAGCTGCCAGTTTGTTCCCACACAGTGGGTAGGATTCTGCTGCCTACAGGCTGTCATCTGGACTCTGGCCCTCCTAAGTCATGGCCCTGGCCAAATTGCTCACCGCACTCTCAGCAGTAAAATGGGACTGGGACAGACCCGCTCCTCTGCACAACTGAGAGAATTAAGCTAGCAAGAACCCAGGTACCTCCTGCCTCTACTGGGAAGCCACCAGCGGCCTGGCCTCACCCGAGTCCACACGGCACAGACTCAAGGGTGCTGCCAGCAGTCCCTTCTCCCGCCTGACCCCTGAGCATTCAACTGATGGTTCTTGTCATTGGACATTCTGGGTGGACCAAAGATTCATCTAAGGTCAAAACACGGAGTCAGTTAACGGTCCCCAGCAGAACCACCTCTGCAGGGGTTTCAGCAACTCCCCAGGTGTTCAGAGGACTACTAGGACTGTACTCCTTGAACACCAGCTTGTTCGAGAGCAGTGACAGGTGACCGGCTTTCCCGCTAGTGCATGCCAGCACTGTGGAAGGACCAGCATGCAGCTGGTGCTTAGGGATCACAGACTAATGAGCTCCTGGGACTCGGAGCAATCCACGTCAGAGAGAGAATGGTGTTCTGGAACTTCCATGAGGAGGAATTACCACCTGCCCGACTGAGAACTAAGTATTCTGAGGTATGATCTTTCTGATCTTGACTTGAGCCGCCTTCAAGGACTGCCAGCCTAGGCACAGAGTGCATCCATCTAAACGGAACAGCCAGCTTTGATTAGATTATCGCTTCCCTTTACATCCATGTTTTCTGGCTCTTGAAACCAGGAATTTCAGCAATACCCTGTCTTGTCCATCACCAGCACCGTGTATCCAGGTCCTCCTTGCAGCCTTCTCCAATTTTATCCCTGGCCCCTAAACCAGCTTTTGCAGGTGTACAAAAGCCCCTGACTCTCAGAGCTTCTCGGTAATTTTCAAAGACCAACATCAAACAGCCTTCTCAACTCCTCTGACAAGGACTTAACCTTGAGGCTTATTTCATGTGACATGAATGTGAAATATTACTGCAACTTCTAGAACTTTCTCTACTTGCAATCTCTGTACTGTGGGCTTGCGACGCTCCTACAGCCGCCTCTAGACCTCATAAAGATGGTCACACATCTAACAAGCTACAGACCGGACAGCCCACACTCAGTGACTAGCTTAGAAAACATTCAACCTGGGGCTCGGTGGGGGCAACTTATGCCACCGTTGACTATTTTCTAGAAAATTGTTGGTTGCTGTGGAGTATTAGCTGCCTACCCATAACCCATTCTTCCTTTTTTCAAGAAAAACTTTCTATTCTTAGAAGGAAGAAAAGCTAAAAAGTCACATTCCCCAGCTTTCTTGTATATGGGAGTGGCTAGCATGCGGACTTGGTGGCTCTTTGAAGGGAGCTGACTTAACAACCAAGAGGTGCCTTTTGTCTTTACCCTCCTCCCCTTGTCCCTGCCTGGACACGTGGATGTGATGGCTGATGTTCTAGCAGCCTTCCTGGCCCATATGGACCTCCCTGAGGCCTGCCATTCCACTGATGCTGGACAGCAATCACACGGGTCCTGGGCTGCTGACCATCAGGCTTCTGTGTAGGAGAGATGTTTCCACATTTTTAAAGCTGGTCACTAGCAACTCTGAATTGATACAGCTACTAGCATGTGAAATCAGCAGAGGCCACATACAATAAAGGCATCTAAATCACCACAATCAGAAAGGCCGGCCACCCTGGGTTTGCCTGTCTTGCACAAGTGGCCACAGTCAGCGGGAGCTAAGCAGGGGCTGCCAGGTCCTGCCGTCGCTGGCTTTGTGGTTTCTGCGTGAGGCTGTGCTGCCTCTTAGGACTGTACGACAGGGGCAGGGAGCCCATCCTGGATCTTGGCCATCGTCTCCCACCTGGGCTGCCACAGCAGGCTCCTCCTTGGTCTCCCTGCTATCCACTGGGAGGTTATGGGTACTGGGACCAGACTAGGTACCCCCTTCCCCTCCTGCCCAGGGTAAAATGAGTCCTCAGTGTGGCTCTCAAAGCCTCCCAGGATCTGACCCTGTTACCTCCCACTCAGTTAACAACCCTGGCCTCTTTCCTGTCCCTCTAATGCTTCAGGAGTGTTGCTGCTTGAGCTGGGAATACAGTTCTTGATCTACACTTAGGACCTCATGGCCTAGGCTGGTGACAGCCCTGGCCAAAGCTGCAGCACCCACCTGACCCTCCAGGTCCCTCTTCCGTGCTGCACTCTTCTCCCTAGCAGTGGCCTCCTGGGGCCCCTCATGCGTGTGACCCAGCGCTCCTGTCTTACCAGGCAGCGGGGCTGTTGTTGGAGGCTGGTCAGTCCTGTATCCAGGCATGGTTACTCCACGCCCATGTTTGCTATCTATTGTCTCCTGGGGTCTCTGAGGCTTTACTCAGAGTAGGATCCAGGACTGGGTGCTGGCAGCAGCTCAGTTCCTCCATCTAACCTTCTAGAGGGAATTCTGATTCCTGCCACGGCCTGAGAGAGGCACAGAGGCTGGCACAGAAATAATAAAGGAGCAGGGAGAGCCCCAGGGGCAAGGACAAGCAGCAACCCCTCCGTCCTCCCCTTCTGGCCCCCCACTGCATCACCTTTGCCCACGAAGTAGTCTTGGTAGTAGCGGGCGCCCAGGTCTACATGCTCAATGCTGTACTGACGGGGCCGACTCTGCGTTCTCTGCTGCTCCTTAGGGACCTCTAGCACCGAGATGCTGGCGTTGGTGCGGTAGCAGCTCAGGCTGGGCTCGGCCAGGGTGCCCTCCGTGCTGCCTGGAGAGCCCGCGGAGGCACGCGAGAAGCTCACGTTGCGCTCACACTCGCCCCCGATCTCGTTGCGGAAGTGCGGACAGCTGAGCAGCAGGTCGTTGCTGTTGTCATCCCCGAGGTCCTGCTCCAGGTTCTCCTTGCAGTTGAGGTCCTCCGTGCTGGTGAAGGCAGGGTCCAGGCCGCCCAGGCTGTGGGTCCGTGACGCTGTTACAGAAGCCATGGCTGAGGCCGCAGACGCCGCCGAGGCCCCCGTGGTGGTGTTGCGTCGCTGTGCCACGGCCACCCTGTTGGCCGCAGCCTCGTTGAGGTCGAACAGCATGCTCTGCACGTCAAAGTGGGCGAAGCTCTTCTGGCACACCCAGGGTCGACTGACTTCTGGGGGGCTCCGCCCTTCTTCGGCCTCCCCGGGCGACCGGCCTGCCTCACCCTCTGGCTTACTGCTCCGCAGCTTGCGGAAGATGGATGAGTCCACTGTGTCTCCGCTGCCAAGGCCCCTTACAGGTTTCTTGCGGGACTTCTCCTTCTCCTTCATGGGATGCAAGGGGAGCAGATTGTCCTTGCAGGGATGCCCGTTGCGGGGGTCCCCCTTGGTGCCACCACTGCTCCCCATGAGATGTGCACCGGGATCTGCCCGCAGGAGTTCGGTCAGAGTCTGGGAGCCACGGGCTTCGGGCTGCTCGTTGCGGAACTCATTGAGAATGTCAAAGAAGCTCTGCTCAGGCACTCCCTGCACGTCGATGGAGGAGGTGCTGCCGTACTCCCGGAAGAGGGGCAACGCGCCTGTGTGCCGGCTGCCCCGCGGCTCCCCTGCCTCCTCCACGTCACACTCGCTGAGGGTGATCTCGCTGCTGCTGCGGTTTCGCAGCGGGAGGAAGGCCCTGCCCGGTGAACGAGGCCACCCATCCTGGAATTCTACATCTTTGGACCTTCTCCTGGAGAGTCGGTGGAAGGCTCTGGACCCCGAGGAGGTCGGAGTGCTGGCGGGAGGCTGCCCGTTCTGTACGCTCCTCACGGAGTGGGCCACCTTGGTGGCCTTCATGCCATCTGCGTCCTGGGAGGGGCTCGGGTTGCTCTGTTCCCTCAGAGCCTCCCGTTTGGGTGGCCAGTCAGCCACTCGCGCGCGCACGCCCATCTTGGGCATTGCAGGGGTGGTGGGGCTGGGGCGGGTGGTAGAGGTGGCTGGGTTCTCACTGAGAGGCTGGGACATGCTGCCATTTTGGGCCCAGAATCCCATGGGAGTGTAGTCCCCTGTGTGCGGCCCAGGGAGGACGTCAGCGCCTCTGGCCCCACAACTGGCTGCCAGGTCGACGCCATCACTGGGAAGGGGCCGATAGGTGGTCATAGTCCACGGGCACTGGAGCGCTGCCGGGCCCTGCAAGCTGTGGTGTGGCTCTATGGGGTCCCCTGGCCCTCAGCCATTGTTCAGGGCCGCCAGGCCCAAGATGAAGGATGCTGGCCCCTGGAACCAGACGCGAAGGTTGTGAGCCTGTGCAGTCCAGTTCTCCACCATCGCTGTGGACAGCTGAGCCAGGACAATCTCGGGAGGCAGGGGCTGTCCCAGGGGCTCCCGATGGAGCAGCTCAGCAGGGCAGAGCGGGCGGCAAGGGTGTCCTCCCGGCCATGCTGCAGAGGAAGCAAAGGGACAAGTGAGACACGACCAGATGTGACTGCTCCCAGCTCTGGGGGAATAGCTTTACTCACTTTGGAGTCCATTTTATTACAGACACTTTCAGATGCACTGAATGCAAAAGGAAGGCTGCAAGGAGCCACCCTGCCAGCTCCCCAAGCAGGGAGACCACTTCTCAGCTGTCCTTCCGCCCCCACCACACTCTTTGTTTCTGACAGATTTTTTTTTTAAAGTGTAAATTTCAGACCTCAGGCTAGCCCACTTGTAAATATTTTGGCTTGTAACTCTAGCAGATCAGGTCCGTCATTTTCGGCTCAAGGAACATGGATGCATCAGTAACACTGCACACGCTGGCTGTATCAGTTTCCTCAGCGTCTCAACAGACTCATTGGTTTGTTCTCACTATGACCCAAATGAGACCCACACCACACCTTTTCCTAGATCTCTTCTCTGCAATCTCTTCCTTAATTTTTTTAAAGATTTATTTTTATTGCAAAGTCAGATATACAAAGGAGGAGAGACAGAGAGGAAGATCTGTCCACTGATTTACTCCCTAAGTGGCTACAATGGCTGGAGCTGAGTCGATCTGAAAGCCAGGAGCCAGGAACTTCTTCCAGGTCTCCCAGGCTGGTGCAGGGTCCAAAGGCGTTGGGCAGTCTTCGACTGCTTTCCCATTCCACAAGCAAGGAGATGGATGGGAAGCAGGGATGCCGGGATTAGAACTGACGCCCATATGGGATCCTGGCGCATGCAAGGTGAGGACTTTAGCCACTAGGCCACTGCACTGGGCCCCATCCCTCCTTAATTTTGATGCCCTCTACTTGCTGGGGGAATGAAGTCATGTGTCCTGTAGTGATTCCCTGTTCTGGAATCCTTGTGTGCACCAATGAACTTGTTCTTCCGACCCCTGCATTCCCTGTAACCTGGCAGCTGCGCACAGAGGCCAGACAATTGGGCAGCTGTCCTGCATGCAGTCTGCTCCTCCCAGCTACTCCCCAGAAAGGAAGTGAGCATGAGGAATGAGTCAACATGAGCAGGGGGACTGCAGGGGAGGGAGGGGGCGGCAGCACAGAGGTAATGTCTCCAGCAGGCTGCATGGCTCACTGATCACTGTGAGCAGATCCTGTCAGTTTCTTGCTGAGACCTCCCCAGGGCCTCAACTCCACCCACTGGCCAGGGGCCCACAGGATCTGGCTCTTGAAGGTCTCCCTGACTAAACTCTGATCTCACCAGTGTCTTTTCCGTTCGGATGTATCACGCCTGACCCAGGATATCTGGACATCCTCCCAGGTGGATCCTTCCCCTGGTGTCAGCTCTTCCCAAACTCCCGAGCACTCTTTTCAAAGTCTTTTTCACCCACTCTGCTTTTTTCTTTTTAAAGACTTATTTCTAAGGCAGTTACATAGACAGAAGGAAAGACAGTGAGATTCCATCCCGTAGTTCACTCCCCAAATGTCCGCAATGACAGAGCTGGGTCAGGTTGAAGCCAAAAGCTTCTTTAGGGTCTCTCACATGGGTGGCAGAGGACTAAGGACTTGGACCACATTTCACCACTTTTCCAGGTAGTAATGCAGGGAGCTGGATGGGATGTGGAACAGCCAGCAGGGCTTAAACTGGCACTCATATGGGATGCTGGTGCTATAAGTGGTGGCTTAATACGTTATGCCATGGCACTGGCCCCTCAGTTTTTCTTAGCTATCATCAACAGCTGAGGTTAGTTTGGTTGTTAGTCACTCAATGACTGTCCCACCACAAAAATGCCAGCTCCGGAAGGGTGGGGATGTCTCTCTTGTTCACTGATGCAGCCCTAGAACCTGAAATAGTGTCCAGGACACAGGGTCATCACGTGCTGCATGCAAAGGATAGCCTTGACCGAATCTTGAGGATCAGTGCCTCCCGAGTCACAGGCCTCTGGGGAGGGAGTTCACGCTGTGTCCTCCAGTATGAAACACTGGGCTTTGTCTTGCCCTTGAACTTCTGGAAGACGAAACCCCATGCTAGAAGAGGAAGGGGAAAGTGGGCCACCGTGTCCCTCCTCCTGCCAATAGAACTGATTTTGTTCAGGGTGGGAGAGTGCTGAGCACTGGCATCAAGGTGTCCAGTAACTTTTCTTTCCCTTAACCTAAGGCTGGCCACGACTGTTCTGGTGACGCCTACTGGTGCTTCCTGTGTGAGGAAGTACAAGGCTGCCTTTGTGTGGGTGCATGTGCGTGGTCATTTTAAAACTTGTGCCCAGAGACAGAGGAGAGTGAACTGACAGATGCACAGGGAAGCTAAAACAGATTTATGGAGTCTAACAACAGGCGAGCCTAGGAGAGTGCGAGCAGACAGGAAGCCAGGGGAGCAGGCTTTGTGTGTCCTTGTGCTCTGTGAGCACACCGACAACTCCTGTAGATGGCAGGGGATGCAGCACAGAGGAGCAATTGCTCTAGGGAAGTGGGCGAGAGGCTGGGGCAGCCTTCGGTGACCTGGACAGCAGCGGCCTCTTCTGAGGAGGCAAGCGGGCTTCTACTCCTTCTAGTTTAGCCTCGCAGAAATGTGTCTGCCACATCATTTGATCTCTCAAGGGGAATCAGACACCTGGAGCTGTGGGCAACACTTCCTATTCAAAAAGCAAACAGTGACAACCGACCAGCAGCCAGGCGGAGCAACTCCAGGACTGTCAAGAGGCCGACCCTGGCTGCCTGTGAGTGTGCCCATGCGCCTACACATGTGTATGTGCCCTCCCACTTGATGCTCCCACGTCCTTCCTGTGCTTCACAGTTGTCCTCACCAGTCTCCCAACCCATGAGGACCTGAGCTATACTACATCCCTGGTAGGCAAATGTGTGTCAAACCAAGGCAAGGCAGACAGCTCTGCTTTTCATGCATCCTGCCGGCCACCTCTGGTATTATCCGGATTCTACCTGTCTTCAGTAAGAGGCAAGCATTGCCTGGCTGGTAAGAAGCCTGCATGCTGTATCATAGTGCCTGGGTTTGACCCTGCTTCCTGCGGATGCTCAGCATGGGAGGCAGCAAGTGATGGCCCAGTGCTTAAGCCTCTGTCACTCAGGTGGGAGACCCGGGTTGGGCTCCCAGCTTCTGACTTCAGCTGGCCTGTTCTGGCTATTGCAGGAGTTTAGAAGAATGAACCAGAGGATGGGAACCCTGGAAGTTTGTGTTTCAAATGAAGCTAATTTTTTTTTAAAGTCAGATATACAGAGAGGAGGAGAGACAGAGGGGAAGATCTTCCGTCCGATGATTCACTCCCTAAGTGAGCGCGACGGCCGGCGTGTTCAAGGTGAGGACTTTAGCCGTTAGGTCATGCTGCCGGGCTCAAATGAAGCTAATTTTAAAAAGTCAATACTAGGGTCCAGTGTGGTGGCCTAGCAGCTAAAGTCCTCACCTTGTACGTGCTGGGATCTCATATGGGCGTAGGTTCTAATCCCGGCATCCCTGCTTCCCATCCATCTCCCTGCTTGTGGAATGGGAAAGTAGTAGAGGACTGACCAAAGCCTTGGGACCCAGCAGCAGTGTGGGAGACCTGGAAGAGGCTCTGGGTTCCTGACTTCGGATCGGCACAGCTCCAGCCATTGTGGTCACTCGGGGAGTGAATCAACGGACAGAAGATCTTCCTCTGTCTCTCCTCCTCTCTGTATATCTGACTTTCCAATAAAAATAAAAAAATAAATCTTTAAAAAAAAGTTGATACTAAAGTACACTGCAAACAATAGCAAGGACCAACAAGTGACCACAAAGAACAGTGATCTTTGAAAAATTCAGAGAAAGTGCTGTGCTGAGGCACAGCACGTTAAGCCTTGACCCTATAACACCAGATTCCTACACTGATACCAGTTAATGTCCTGGATGCTCTGCTTCTGATCTAGTTTCGTGCTGATGTGCCTGGGAAAGCAGCGGAGGAAGGCCCAGGTGCTTGAGGCCTTGCGCCAATAGGCGTTCCAGGCTCCTAACTCAGCCTAATCCAGCCCTGGCCTTTGCTGCCATTCGGAGGGTGAACCAGCGGATGGAAGATCTCCCTCTGCATCTCCTTTCTCTCTGGGATTCTACCATTCAAATAAATAGTTTTTTTAAAAAAATTTAAAGTTCATAGAAAATATAAAAAGTGGTACATGGATTTTAAAAACTTTTTGCTCCAAAATAAACCGTTTAACTTCATGAATTATTTTAAAAGCAATTTACCTATTTATTTGTAAGGCTGGATGACAGATGGCAGAGGAGAGGTAGCTAGAGATCTTCCATCCATACAGGTTCACTCCCCAAAATGCTTACAAGAGCTGGGGCTGGGCCAGGCCAAAGCCTGGAACCACCGCCCCACCCCGAGTCTCACAGGTGGCAGGCACCCAAGCATGTGGACCATCATTCACTGCCTCCCAGGTGTTTTATGGTAAGTATCACGTAGTTGCAACCCTACCAGGCACTCTGAGATGGGATGTGGACAATCCAAGTGGTGGCTTATCTGCCTGTGTCCACATGCCTGCCCCTCTGTGAATTTTTGATAGTATCTAACAAGCCTGTGGGATGGATTTGGTTAGGGGCTCCTGGTTTCCATCCTGTGCTGATCAAGGGGTGCTACAGCTTTGCCTCAGAAAATGAAAATTTTGTTCATTTTCTGTTTACTGTCTCTGCCACAAACAGTTCTAGAATGGCAGGGGTGTTCTCCCTGAAGCCCTGAGCCTAGGACCATACCCTGTTGGATGCTGGATCCCAGCAGGTCAGTGTGGACAGGGAGCAGAGGGAGGACCGGTCCTCTGAAGTCACACTGGAGCTGGCTGGGAAACCAGTGGCCCAGACATAATCCTGACTGCTGACGCCCGCACTGCTGGACAGATGGGCTTTGTTGGCATTCTGCTCCCAGCTCAGTCAGGAACAGTCAATCTCCTCTGTGGACACACAGGCCCTGGTCTCCTGGCACCAATGCCTTCTCTGAGCTGCTACAGCCAGGTCTCCCTGAGATAATCAGAGGCGGACGAGCATTCACAGCCTGTCTAGGCCTCCG